ATGGTAGAGTTGGGCCTTGACACCTATTCTCATATCTACTGTTCACACGGGGTCCCAGTATTACATCTCATTCAATACCCTGGTTCACGACCACATTATTCTATTATTCCAACATGCCTAAGGCGGTGGAGAGCGAGTGATATCACATGCGTCTCTGCTGATATTTTCCTCGGGTTCACCACCTACTCGAGTACTCGGGTACTCCCTCCGTTCGTACCACAAGTCTGCCTTCGAAGGGTCATACACAGTGAGGCCTGGGGTGAGTTTTACGGCCATCCAATCCATCCAATAGATCCACCAGCCCATTGCTGTTTCACACCTGGACCATCATTCATCCCCACCCTCTCCCCGACGATACTGCTATCATACTATCATACTACTATACCACTATGCTATCGAAACCGCAGCCCATACCTACTACCTACCTACATATATCTACCTATAGCCATCGTCAGCCCAGACGGACGGACGGGCTGACGGACAACCGCCGCGTTTCAGAAATTTCAGAACTTTGTTTTCCAGATTTCCGGAACCGGCCAGATCCAGAGACAAGAGACGAGAGACAAGCGATTTTGAAGTTCGAACTCGAGACAGAACCAACACGCAACCAAGGCAGAGCCGTAGGATATAGTTGGGTAGGATTATGTATAGGTGGAGTGGTAAGTATAGATGGAGTGGTAAGCATTAAGTAAGTACATCGTACACACATGCTTGGGCTTGGGCTTGGAAGGAAATCCAACAACCGCACCGCATCCGCCGTCACTCTAGCCGGTCTGCCGGCCAGCCAGCCAATCCACTCTCACCACTTCCACCGGCACTCCACCCACCCACATATATACCGGCCACTGGCCAGCCAAGTCACCTAGTCACCTAGTAGAAGTAGTAGCATCTAGACCTCGCCCTCGCCCTCGCCCTCGCCCTGGACAATAGACAGTGGACTTCGTGTTGTACCTACCTACCACTTTTGCACCTTCTCTGGAGTCTGCACACACCGTACACGTACATAAATAACCCCAGACCTGCCAAGTAAGCACTTAACAAGCAAGCAAGCACATCATCTGCCCCCTTCTGCCAACTCCCTTGCCCGCTTCCTCCACCTCTCACACACTCTCTTCTACTCTTCCTCGCCTGCTCCCACCTACTTCCTCCCTCCCCACCAGCTGGAAACGATTTCCAACTGCGTCCCTCACCTGGACTAGACGTTTTAGGGCACTGGATCCCCATCCGTTCCTTCCATGTGGCCCATATCTCCGTTTGTCGCTGTTGTTGGCAGGTTGAGTATGGTATAGAAGCAGACAATGAAGCACGTGTCCCAAGCTGTATGCATATGCTGTGCTGTGCTGTGAGCTAGGAATGTATGTAGGTAGCAGGCGGGCACCCTCGGAATTAGGGAGGATGATGAGCGGTGGCACAGTGACAATGAAGCGATTGGGCGTTGGTGATTTCCTCCACGGATTCTCTCCAGCAACAAATGCCGTCCGTCTGTCAGGCCATTACTCGGCGGTGGCTCGCTGTCTGCCTATCTGTTCTGTCCAGCTCGAGCTCGAGCGAGGCACAAAAGCGCAGTGTAGTAGGAAGTACTCAATCGATGCAGTACAGGCTTTCCCCAAGTGTCCACAAGCAAGCAACACCACTCTGCCCTCTGCCATACGCATCGCGGGAACGCACAGCTGGTGCCAGGGAGGGGGAGAGGGAGGGGGCACGGCACACGACACACCAACCGCCAACATCCACTACAACCACTACCAAAGTCCACCCACTGTGTACTTACCTACCAGATGCAAACCAACCTTCAGCTCTTTGGGTTTCATCACCAACGTGGTTCCCGTATCCTTTTGCCCTTTTTCCCTTCCCCCTTTCCGCCAGGAATCACGATGCTCCTGGTCAATAACTCGAGCGCCCCCACCACCCCCACAAGTGAGTAAGTGAGTGATATTCCATGCACACCGGATCACCACATACCTCATACATACCATACACACCATTCACCCTTCACCCTTCACATAGGTACGTCCGCATTTTGTTTTTCGATCCAGACCTAGCCCCAGGCCTAAACCTAGACCTTTCCGGATTTATATTTATATTTATATTTATTTCTTTTCTTTTCGAATCCCCCCCTGGCGGTTCGATGGCTGGCTGGCTGGCTGGCTGGCTGGCTGGCTAACGACCGTTGGGCGATTGTCTGTAGATTGTAAGATAGACAGCCAGATAGATAGATATGCGATGTAGCAGACGATGTCGATGTCGATGTCACGATCCGAGACAGACAGACAGACAGACAGCCATACAGCCAGACGGATTGGTGTGGATGGATGGATATGGAAGCTGGGCCGAGTTGTGTGTTTTTTTCTTTCTCTTTTCTGTGTGACCACCACCTCGACGACCACCTCGACCACCACTACTAATGGAGGGAGGGAGGGAAGTGCGAGGAATTTCTTTTTGCGGTTTGGCCTGCGGTTTGCGGGAAGCTACCGCGTGCAGGTCTGCGGGTCTGCAACTCTGCGGTGGTGGTGGTGTTGTGGTGTTGTGGTGTTGTGGTGTTGTGGTGTTGTATGTAGTGGTGGTGTATGTACTCGTACATTGTAGCGTAGGTATGGGTGTCACAGAGCGAGATGTGGAGATGTGGAGAAGTGTGTGTGGGTACATGACGTACGACATGTACTAGGTTTGTAGTTAGTGGATGAGGGGGGTGTGTGGTTTCGAAGCTGTGCGGATGATGATGGTGCTGATGGTGCTGGTGATGATGATGGTGGTGTGCATGTGCGAGGTGAGAGAGATCGCAAGTGGAAGTGGAGGTGAGTGTTGGTTCGCCGAGTATGAGGACTCAAGGAGCGATGAGGTCTGGGCTTTTCTTTGTTGCTGGGGTTATTGTTGTTATTGCTGCTGCTGCTGCTGTTGTTGTTGTGGTGGTGGAGGAGGACCAGAGGGGCATTCACTCGCGAGTCGCGACAGCTACCATCGACCACCGCCGGGTGTGAGACGGTGAGAGGCTGTCGACTCTCGACTGTCGATTCTCTCTCGGCGCTCGTCGTCACAAGCATCATAAGCCTCACTTCACTCCTCACTCCTTCTCTGCTCCTACCACTAGTCCGGAGGAATGAATTGCTTCCTTGCAGGGTTGGATTGCCGGACTCCACCCGAGGATTACCTACCAGCGCCAGCCCAGCCCCAACCCAAGTGGCCCAAGTTACCCAGGTTGCCCACCCAACCCAACCCCGGATGGATAGCTGCAACGTGCGAAAGAAGAGCAGAGCAGAGAGATCGGAAACGGTCGAGTCTCGCTCGCTTGAGTCGCCAATCAGCGGGTGGCATTTACGAACGGACGAGACAGCTTGGGAGGCGGATTGGGATTTTTTTCTTTTTTTCTTTTTTTCTTTTTTCGGTTTCTTGAGGTGGGATGAGAATAGAGAAGAGAAAAGAGAAGAGACGGTGACGGATGGGGAGGGGGGAGGGAGGAGGGTGAATAGAGGGGGAGGAGGAGGGCGAATAGAGGAGGCAAGAGGAGGGTGAATAGAGGAGGGAGGAGGAGGGATGAGGAGGAGGCAAGAGGAGGAAGGAACGAAAAGCAAACACGATGAGGGGCAGAGTAGAGGCTCGATACCTCCTCTACTCCACCGTACCCAACCGTCGGCTCACATTTGCCTTCTTGCCTTCTTGCCTTGGAAGTCTTGGTGCTGTCGTTCGTTCGTTCGTGTCGGACTCGATCTTCATGTACATACTCGCGCTCGTCACGAGATGCCTCGCCGCTGCAAACTGCCTGCTTCCATCATTCGATATCAAGTACTCTACCTTACTCCACTCCACTCTACTCCACTCTACTCCATGTACACTCTGCTTCCTACGAAGCTTTCTCGGTGCTGGGTAAATGCTCTACTGACCTTTTTTTTTGCGTTAGATTGCCCGCTGACTTCTTTACCCTTTCCTGCCGGTCACGGTGCCGTGTGCTGCTGCTGCTGCTGTGGTCATTTCCCTCGTCCTCTTCCCCGAAGGAGTAAGCAAAATACAGTACCGCTCTCTTTTTCACGTTCAGTTCCTGGCACTGGGACGACTGGAAGCTCGAAGCTTAACCAAAGCTCAAAGCTCACAGCTTGAAGGGCGAAGGTCAAAGAAGAAGGGCGAAGAAGAAGACGGCCAGCCACTCAGTCTAGTCCCTGCAGCACGCCAAAAAAGAAAAAGAAAAAAAAGAAGAAAAAAAAGAAGAAAAAAAAGAAGAAAAAAAGAAAAAAACAAAGGTGAGCGACAAAAAACGAACGAGGCTTTTTTGCTTTGTTATTCTCCCGCCAAGTCCGCTCCTGGGTCGCAACTTGGGACCATTTCGACGATATTAAGCCGAAGCTGGCTGCTGCCAGGCAAGATTGGGGACAGGGTGGGTGTCAGGCTCTGCAGGCTTAGGCGCACAACCTAAGCTTCAAGGAGAAAGGCTTTTCTTGAACGACTCTTCAATTGCTGCGCAGAACGAGACAAGTGACAGGACACAAGACCGAGAGAGAGAGAGGGAGAGGAAATAGCCAGGCCTCTCTAGTCTTGTTGGCCCTCTTCGCCTCTCCCTCCTCTTACTCTTACTCCTGCTCTTCCTCCTCCTCCCCCCCCTCCTGCTCCGCTTCTCTTCACACTCTCTTCACCGTCACGGTCTCCGCCGCGCTATCCCCCCCCCGACTCCCGCTCCCCCGCTCCTCCCTCCATCCTCCCTCCCCCCCACAGCCCCTCCATCATCCCTCCCACCCCCTCCCCCGGACGGACCACTCCCGCCCGACCCCTTCAGATCCCAAGGCTTCGTACCTTCGGTCCGGGCCCGCTCTCCATTGCCGGACGGTTTGCTAGATAGACGTTCTTTCGCTTTCTTTGGGTCGATCTTCTTGCTCGTGCCAGTGCGTCACTACCTGCCTGAAGCTCTGCTTGTGGTGCGGTGCTGTCTGTCTGTCTCGTCCGCCGTCTCGTCCATCGTCTCGTCTGTCCGTCGTGTCCAAAGTACTCTACCTAACGAACGTACCCTCCCCCCCCCCCCCGGCAACAATAATATCCCGCAAGGTCCACACGTCCGAGGTCGTCATCCAGCCCGCATATCCTCTGTTTTTGTTTAGCCGAACAGCAAGCAGAGTCCGCGCCAGGAAAAGAATTTCTTTGCTCATCTCTCTCTTCTCTCCGCGCCCCATTTCAGCCCTACGTAACGAAACAAACCTCCGGGCACGCGACACTGAGACCTTCCTGCCTCCATCCCATTGCACAACCCACCACCACCGTCCACCAACCATCGTTACTACGTTTGTCGCCGTCGCCACCGACCAGCACTACCTCTTGCCGAAAGCCCACCGCCCCAATTCCACCCATCCGCCCTCCATCCGCCTTCATCCGTCCACCCGAGACCAGCTTGACCGCACCGCTCCATCTTGATTCCAAACCACGGCCATGATGGTAAAGTCGGAACCATCACCGACACTAACACCGCCCTCACAGGACTCTAACCTGTCGGGTGGGCACGGAGGAGGGGCCACCAATGGCAGTGGCGGCGGCGGCGGGAGCAATGGCTCAGGACCGGAACAATCGCAATCGACTTCCTCGACTCCAGCACCTTCGTCAATCGCGCGCTCCAATGCGAAGGACCCGTCCAGACCGCGGAGAAAGAAGGCCCGTCGGGCTTGCTTCGCTTGTCAACGGGCGCACTTGACATGCGGTAAATCCTCTCTCTTCCGATCCTCCTCCTCCTCTCCATCATCTTCCTCCACCACCACCTCCTCCTCCTACTCCTCCTCCTCTCCATCTTCCTCCCCACACATGCCATCACACATCCACACCCCGCCTCCCCCGCAAACGCACTGACCTGCCGCTAGGCGATGAGCGTCCCTGCCAACGTTGCATAAAACGTGGCCTTCAAGATGCCTGCCACGACGGCGTTCGCAAGAAGGCGAAATACCTCCACGACGCGCCCATCGACGACGGTCCTCCCGAATTCGCGCAGCAGCCATCGTCTTCCGCCGGATCGTATCCTTACCACCATCCCCAGCTGTCGCAACCGTCGGTCGCCACCGAGATGCTACCCCCCGACGGAACCATCAATCCCAACTCGATCGAGTCCCCCGGCGCCGCACTCGTAGATCAGGCACAACAGCACGCCTTCTCGCAGGCGCCAATGTTCGACCCGAGCGATCCTGCGCTGTTCAACTTTGACATCGCCAGCTTGAATTTCGAGAGTCACTATGGAGCGTTGGAGTTTGGCGTGCTCGGGCAGATGTCTAACGGCGGAGGCGGCGGCGGCAACACCAACAATGGAGGGAATGGTGTGGGTACACCGGATAATAATAATTCCGGTCCGGGGTCGGCCTATGGCTACTCGCCGGGGGTGGTGGGAGCGGATGCTTATGTTGGTTTCGCGGCGCCGCAAGATTCGTCGTTGGGGGATGGATGGACATCGCGAAGTACCAGGCAGGCGGCGAGTGCTGGTGACGGAACGACCGGTTTCGCGAATACGTACATGATCGAAGCTGGCCCCGGTTCACTGACGTCGCCGTCTCCGCCGGTAGAGAGTCCGCGACAGAACTACACACCCGCGAGTACTAGCGCTGCCGTCCAGGGCTCCTACGCCGCAAGGGACGAGGCACCTGTACCGCTGGGCTCGCCGTCATTTTTCTCGACACCACCGCAACCTCAGAACCGACCTGTCCAGCCTTCTGCGTTGCACCACGTGCAGAGTGCTTCGCACCAGGTATCCGCACATATCCACCAACACCAGCCCCTCCAGCGCCGGCGGCGTCCTGACGATCCGAGCCAGATCTACTCGTCGATAACGCAGCCATACCCCTACGCCCTGCAGCACCACCGGCTATTCCACATGCTCGAAACGCGCTTCCCGAAAACCAGTCTCCTGCGGATAGCACGCGCGATGGCGTCGTTCCGTCCGTCGTTCATCGCCTGCACGCAGACACTGAAGGCGGACGATCTACTTTTCATGGAGAAATGTTTCCAGCGCACACTATGGGAATACGAGCGCTTCATACAGTCGTGCGGCACGCCCACCATCGTGTGCCGCCGCACGGGCGAGGTGGTCGGCGTCGGAAAAGAATTCTGTATGCTTACGGGTTGGGAGCGTGCCGTCCTTCTCGGCGAGAAGCCGAATCGCAATACCAACCGTCCCTACGTGAAACCCCCCGGCTCCGGACCGGGCGTACTCCAACCTCCCCCCGAAGACGATATCCAGGGCGGTGTCCGAAGACCAGTCTTTCTGGCCGAACTCCTCGACGACGAATCGGTCGTTGAGTTCTATGAGCAGTTTGCACGACTCGCCTTTGGCGACTCCAGGGGTGCGGTTATGACGACATGTAAAGTACTCACCTATCAGGCGCCCCTGGAGGATGGTGAGAGCAAGGATGGGGTCATGAGGAAGTCGGGCGGACTGGCAGGGAAGGAGGGCAAGGTGGATTGTGCGTTCTGTTGGACCATCAAGAGGGATGTTTTCGATATCCCAATGTTGATCGTGGGCAACGTGAGTCTTCATTCCGTGGCATGGGTGTATGGTGTGGAGCGGAGTGCTAATGTTCATTCGCATAGTTTTTGCCGATACTGGGCAAGACGAGTGAGAGCGGGTAGGCCGATCCGTCCGTCCCCCACATGGACGCAGGACGCGAGTCGTCATCCGTTTCACTGTGTATGTACTTGTTAGGCATTTTCTTTCGTTTTCTTTCTCGCGTGTTGATTATTTTCGTCGGGGCTGTCGGTGACTAGCATTTTTCTTTCTCCCTTTCCCCTTTTACGTACCTACCGTACTTACTTACTTTGTTACTTTGTGGCATGAGTCTTGTTTACTGGGTGGTGTTTGGCGCTCCTGCTTATTTGCTTGCTCGAGTTGTGTCGTGTCGTTGTGTGCAGTTCTGGGTTTCTTATATGGTTTGGGTAGAGATGGGAGCGGGAGGAGTGTAGGAGGACAGGTGGGAAGGATGCAGTAGGAAGGATGCTGTGAGGAGGAGGATAGGAACAGGATGGAGGGAAATGTATTTAACTACTTAGATGAATGTTTTGGAAGAGGTACGATACCAGTGTAGTGCTCTGATGGTTATCAGTGAGTGAGTTTGAGTGAGAAGATTGGGGGGCGGGTGGGGCGGGTGGGGCGGGCGGGGTAGGTAGCTTGAATGATACCGGTATGTACAGAAATCGGTGTGCACGGAGAGGATGCTTGGAACTACTTGCCTACGAGTAGGTATCGGGGGTTGAATGGTCGCTCGGCTCGAGCTCATGGTGAATGGCCGAGTGAAGGCTAAACCGCTCCTCGAAGTCTAGGTGGACCGTGCCGGTATGCCGGCTGCCCACGGGTCAGCCAGCCAGTCAGGACTCAAGGGTCAGCCAGTAGCTAGTGAGGACCACACGGCCATCACCAAAGCATAGTCCATAGTGTTTGTTTTCCACAACTTTGACGCTCCGGTCCTGTCATCAAACTGGTAGTCGGGGTAGGTAGCTTAAGTGATACCGGTATGTACTGGGAACCGGCGTACACAGAGCGGGCGAGGTACTACCCCCGAGCACTGTAGATATCGGGGGTTGAATGGTCACTCGGCTCGAGCTCATGGAGAATGGCTGAGTGAAGGTCAACAAATCGCTCCTCCGAAGACTGGGTAGACCGTGTGCCGGGTCAGGCAGCCCACGGGTTAACCTATCGGGACTCAGGACCCACGGGTCAGCCAGTAGCCAGTGAGGACCACACGGCCATCACCAAAGCATAGTGCGCAGTGTTTGTTCTTCACGGCTTTGACGCTCCGGTCCTGTCGTATCATAACGGGCGGTAAACAGCCACAGTCAACTAACTATAGCTATTGACTACGTAGACTGACCTCACCTTACCTCGTCATACTAGGTACTACTTACTCTGACCTCTAGACTTGTACGCTGAACTCTGACCTCTGACCTTTGGACTCGTACTCTGACCTCTGGACTCGGGACTCGTCACGACTCACGAATTTAGAACCCGTCGGCATTGACTAATGCTGTCTCGGAGCTTCCGGATCTTCCGGGCCTTCCGGACCTTCCGCCCGAGAGAGTTCGGGGTGGCCCGAGCAAGTGGCCCGGCTGACTGCGCTTGGTTGGTAGCTGCATACCCGTACCGGTAGTGGTAAGCCGGGGTATCGGTTTGGTGGTTGGTGCTGGTGGTGGTTGCTGCTGATGAATGGGGGTTGCTGGTGCTAGTGAATGGGGGTTGCTGGTGCTAGTGAATGGGGGGGTGAATAGGTGATGGTGAATGGAGGGTGGTGGTGGTGCTGGTGAATGGGGGGTTGGTGGTGGTGCCGGTGGTGCTGGTGAATGGGGTGGTGGTTATGGAGGTGAATGGGGAGTGGTAGTGGTGGTTGGGGCAGGTTGACTCTGGAATAGGTAGTTCAATCCGTTGAATTACCGTAGTGGGAGTGATTGGAGTACCTAGCTGGAGTAGCTGGAGTACCTATTTGGAGTAACGGTTTCCCCGAGAGCTTAGGGTGTCGTCCTCCAGCGGGCTATTCATCACGATCACTCGTCGAGTCGCCGAGTCGCAGCAGGTCAACGAACGGGTCCGGGTCAACGGGTCCAAGTCCGATTCTGCTGGCTGCTGCCGGATGTCCGAGAGTCGAGGCAAGACACATACCCGAGAAACTGGAAAGTAAAAGCATCATCGTCACCCGATCCCGCGGTCGCCGGCGAGGCGTCCACTGGCCGCAGTGGCCGGTGTTTCCAGTGTCTACATCGAGCCTGGTCTGTCGCTCCCGAAGAGGTATGTACAATACATACTTTGCCTCTAGATATTTGAGTCGCCTTGCGCTCACTCCTAGTTATTCCCCACCGTTGCTTCTCTTCACCGTTCCTTCTCTTCTCTTGTCTTCCCCGGCCCGAGCGTATGTACCCCATGTACTCTACGTAGAGTACCGCACCTTCTTCATAGACGCGACGGGAGCTAACTAGGCCACCCAGCTATTCCCAATGGTTAAATGTGGACCCACCAATCGCTGCGCTTTCCGGGCTCGGTATAGTTGATTATGCATACAGTTGCATCTGACGGAGTTTACGAAGAGGTGGATTGGAGAACTGTCATCACTTCGAAAGTACATGTGTACGGTTCTCTGGAGTAGAATACGATTTCCAGGCGTCCCATCTGATTACACACCTACCTGTGAAGTGATCTACGAGCCATCCGGGGAAAGGGCGGGACCTGAGGTGAACGAGGGATACGGTAGGCTGAGCATGGACATCTCCGACCATCGGAGCTCGGCATTCGGATATACGGTAATCACACACACTTTGTATGGCCTGCAGGCAGGAATTGACTTCCAAGAATCCAAGTCCCTCGCCTCTTTCCCCACTAACTCACCAACTAGCAGGGTCATCTTCACCTTGCCCGCTCCGGTCCGCGCTATGTGTGTCCTTACACACGCCTGCTGGGTAAGCATACTTCCAGCGTGCCGATTCTCCGGTTAAGCAAGTTAATCAATCGCTGTGAGTACGGCAGCTGTAACTCTATCCGGCCAGCTTTTTAAAAAGATATATATGTAGAGCGCCCCCCCCCCCCCGCCCCCCCGGACCCTCGATTCGAGGGCTCGGTCAATCAATCCTTACTTCGACGATGATGACGCCCCCCGCAGAGCCTGCGCGCGCACACGCGCACGCACATGACGATGACGACAACAAGCGACACAAGCGCGACGGCGGCTCACTCACGCTGCAGCGAACATTTTCCGGCGGGGATGCGGGCGGCGTATTTGGTGGCGACGGGGGGGTGCTTGGGAACTCGCGGTCGCGGCCGGACGGGTGGTGTGAGCGGCTCGATATTGCGCGGGAGGAGGGTGCGGACAGCAGTGATGTGGAGAAGGCGCTGCAGGACGAGGCAGAGGAGGAGGAGGCCGCCGATAAGTGGGAGGTCCGCTGGGAGGACGGCGATACAGATAATCCAAGGAATATGAAGAAGTGGGAGAAGTGGGTGTGCACCTACGTCGTCTCGTCGGCGAGTCTTTGCGTGTAAGTCTCTCGACTTCCGGAGTGGGGGTAGAGAGTAGAACGGGGCTGATGGGATTGCGGCGGCGGCAGGACCTGTACGAGTTCCATCTACACGAGCACGTACACGCAGATCAAGGGCGAGTTTGGAATTCCGCAGCTGGAGGCAGTGGCCGGACTGAGTCTTTTCGTGATGGGTCTCGGAATCGGTTTGTTCCCCCGGCCCTCTCTTCTGCGTCCCGCGGACTGATTTGTGTGGGCAGGACCGATGATTCTCGCGCCGCTATCGGAATTCTACGGGCGGAGACCGACATACCTCGTTTCTTTCACCGTTTTCACCCTGCTGTTCCTGCCGTGTGCGTTGGCCCCGCATATCGCCGTGTTGCTGGTTTTCCGCTTCTTTTCGGGAATGGCCGGGAGTGCGTTCCTGTCTGTGGCCGGAGGGACCGTGGGTGATATGTTCTCCGGGAGAGACTTGGGTGCTCCCATGATGATCTATACCGCCAGTCCTGTACGTCCCGTCGTCCCCACGTCCATTGCTGAGATGAATGGCAGCTGATGAGTAATAGTTCGTCGGCCCCGAACTCGGCCCCCTGCTCGGAGGCTTCATAAACCAGAACATCAGCTGGCGGTGGACATTCTGGATCGTAATGATCTGGTCGTTCCTCGAGCTCTGCCTGCTATACTTCTTCGTCCCCGAAACCTACACTCCTGTCCTCCTGCGTCGGCGCGCTGTGCACCTCCGCGCCACCACTTCGCAACCCTACTACGCCCCCATCGAGAACCTGACCCGCAGCATCCCGCGCACGATCGCCTGGTCCTGCCTGCGGCCTTTTCAGCTCCTCTTCTTCGAGCCCATGGTGCTGCTCCTGTGCATCTTCACCGCCATCCTGCTGGGCGTGTTATACCTGTTCTTCCAAGCCTTCCCACTGGTCTTCTCGAAAGTCCACGGCTTCGACCTGCAAACAATCGGGCTGACGTTCCTGGGGCTATTCGTGGGTATGGTAATTGGGATCCTCTCGGACCCATTCTGGGGGTCGCTACGGCAGCGCTTGGTCGCCAAGAACGGCGGCGTGAGCGAACCCGAGTTCCGCTTGCCCTCGGGGATCCTGGGCGGCGTGCTCGTCCCCATCGGCCTGTTCTGGTTCTCGTGGACAACGTACGCCTCCGTCCACTGGATCGTCCCTATCATCGCCTCGGCAGTCTTCGGCACCGGCACCCTGCTGGTATTCTCCGGAGTGTTCACGTTCCTGGTCGACGCGTACCCGCTGTATGCCGCTAGCGCGCTCGCCGCGAATTCATTTGTGAGATCGTCGTTTGCGGCTGGGTTTCCGCTGTTTAGTGGCGTGCTCTACGCCCGTCTGGGGTATCAGTGGGCGGGCAGTATTCTTGCGTTCTTGACGGTCGTTATGGCGCCGGTTATGGCGGCTTTCTTTTTCTGGGGCAAGAGGATCCGGAAGGGAAGTAGGTTTGCGGGCGGGAAGTAGGGGGCTAACTAGTGGGTTCATGGGAAGCAGAGTGCATTGGATAGACGTGTGGGGGTTTTGTAATGTGTGATTGTTTCTTATGATGCGTTGCATGGCTTTTGGGCCTTTAGACGGGATTTGGGGTGGCTCGTTTTTGATGATAGACCTAATGAAGATCGTTTCCTATCTACATATTGCGTGATGGCATGGGAAGACTGACTGACTCTTCAATCTCAATCTCAATCCTGAAACCGATTGATGCTGTACGGTGAGCTATTGTCGCCAACCTCCCTATCATATATCTATATACATCATGGGCAGCGCGCCCTAATCATATCAAGTCTCGTCTCGTCTCATTGAGACACTCCACTCTATGTACAGATTATTCCTTAAATCCAGGTCTCGATTGATTATTTTACTTGACTTGCAAGCTTCTCCTCACCACTTCGGCTTCTTCGCTGCCTTTGCCGCTGCCTTTGCCGCTGCCTTGCTTTCTTTATTTGCTTTGGCTGCAGCAGCCTTGCTTCCTTTGCTTCCTTTGGTTGCAGCTGCCTTGATTGAAGCCGTTTTGATTGCCGCTGCACGTTTGGGGCTCGTCTTAACGACGGTAGCCCAGGGATTCGATTTTGCGGTTGCGGGTGGTGTTGGCGGAGGTGTTGGTGGTGGGGAGGCTGGGGCGGCCTCTGGTGTTGGTGTTGGTGTTGGTGTTGACGATGATGCTTCTGATCGTGTCGTAGGCTTTGAGGCCGGTGTCTGTTCCAGAGTGGCAGCTGATGTAGGAGTTGGTGTTGACGATAAGGCTTTTGACCGTTTCGCAGGTGTCTTTTTCGGAGTGGTAGCTGATGTAGCAGTTTGTGCTGACGATGATGCTTTTGACCGTTTCGTAGGAGTCTTTCTCGGAGTGGTACTTGATGCAGCAGTGGGGGTTGGATTTTTGGCGGATGATGATTTTGCAGTCGTCCAGAGACTATTGTCCATAACCAACAGCTTCTCAACACTCAACATGTCACTCTTCGCCTTCGCGGCCCGTGCCTTCGCCATTCTCGCCCATGAAACAGCCGCCGCCTTAGTCCAGGTCGCCGACTTGCTCCCGGTCGCCGCTTTGCTCCAGGTCCCGCTTGGCCGGTGCTTGGCCGGCTTTATCCCCCTGGGTCCCTTGCCGACCGGTTTCTTGCTCTTGCTCGAATACTTGAGGACACTGTCCATCGCCAGCAGTGCTTCCACCGACAGCGCTGCAAGATCTTTCACGCGGCCGCCGTGTCGGATAATCGACGTTTCCGACTCCTGCATTTGCAACTCCGGAAGTTCCCCGCCGAACCGGGTCCACAACACCCTCTCCGCCGAATCACTTTCCACCACATCATTCATCTCCTCCCCCCGTAGCGTAGCCTCCAACCACTGCCCCATCGCCCCCTCCTCGAGCCCCTCCTTCACAACCCCCACCGGATTCCCATCTTCCGCCTCGGTGTTGGCCCGCTGCACAAACAGTGCACGATCCTCCGCCGCAACTCCCTTCCCCAGACTCAGCAGCATACGCGGCACAACCTTCTGAGCCAGCAGGAGGCCCCAGCCGTGCCCAGGAACGAAGCCATTCGGCGGCCACCTTTTCGCATTCCTCCGGGTCCTATCAAACCTGAGCAGCGGGTCGACACTATACTGATTCCCCGAGACCACATCCGGGAACTCCACGCCCGGGCTGGCAAAAAACAGCAGCGGCCCCGCAAACGGGTCGGTCCAGTACAGCTGCGGATCGCTCCCGTAGATTTGCCTGCGCAACATGGGATCGTAGCCGCTGCCCATGCGCCACGTGCCAGTGGACATGTCCCACCCCGCGTTGCCCTCCGCTATTCCTTCGGTAGAGACGTCAACCACCGGCTCCGCCGCGGCCACCGCGGCTATGGTACCCGGCCCCTGCGTGATCGCCGCCGCAATCGCAATGCCGCCCATGAATCGGGACGCCAGCAGCCCGGTCCGGCTCTCGGGAAACAACAGCCGCGTCTCTGAGACCGCGGCGAGGACGTCGTGGAGTACCTCGGGGAAGGTGGGCGGCTTGCCTCTGTAGATGGGGGTTATGATGATTGCGGAGGACGGGGCCGGAGGTGCGGGAGTGAAGAGCGGGAGCGAGATTATGGTGGGTGTGCTTGGGGTGGCATCGGCGGGCCGTTCAATGTGGAGGCGGAGGGTTTTACGACCGGGGACTGGGTGCAGGTCGCTGTCGTCGATGTGGAGGTGGAGGTCGCTGTCTTTAGTGGGGAAGTGGAGGTCGTCATCTTCGGTGGGGAAGTGGAGGTCGTCATCTTCGGTGGGGAATTGGAGGTTGCCATCTTCAATGGGGAAGTGGAGGTCGTCATCTTCGGTGGGGAATTGGAGGTTGCCATCTTCAATGGGGAAGTGGAGGTCGTCATCTTCGATGGGGAAGTGGATATCGCTATCTTCGATAGGGAGGTGGAGGTCGTCATCCACAGCGGTAGAGGGTACAGGTACGGCAGGTGGTGAAGTAGTAGTGGTAGTAGTACGAGCAGCGGCGAGATGTGTGGAACTGAATTGCCGTAAACGACAGGGCCGAACAGAACGCCTGAGGGCTGCCGAGAATATTGGAAGTGGCGGCTGATGCAGTGGGCGCAGTGGGCGCAGGACGTGGAGTAATCGTGCTGACATGGTGGTAGTCATGGTAATGGCGACGGAGGGGACGTTGGGAATCAACTTGAGATTAAGTTTGGGCCAATTTTTAGGTGACACAAACATGCGGAAGCAAATTAGGCGAGGGCGGTTTAGCTGCCGCGGGGTGGTGGGGGGCCGGGGCATGGTCTGCGGTATGCATAGATATAGTCTCTATCACTGCACCCAGCAGTCATCACTCTAGAACTGCCTCTGCAGGCAGAATTGAATGTCCCGAGCGGAATACCAGGAGGACGCAAACTAGGAAGGCTGTAGATTTCACGGCAGCACTTTTCGAGGAGCGACGATTGCGTGAAGAACTTACACAACATATTTGTTCGATAAACGAAAACAACAGAATGCGGTAGAGAACCAAGAGCTCAGATCGCTTACCGGTAGGAATGCGGCGATGGCCGACCTTACGAGCTGGATCCACTTCCAGTACAGCCGCGCTCTTGTCTCGGCCCGTCCAGGTGACTTCTTGCCGCCGGTTGGGCCTGATGCTCTTTCGGCTGGAGCGGGAAAGCCGTGAGGGCCATACTCAGCCGTCGCACAGAGACAAGTCTTGCATGTTCAGCCAGTGCAATTGCATGTCCAAATCCCGCATGGGTGCGCCGGCCAAACAACCAAGACCTGCGTAGGACGGAGTCTGCGAATACTGAATGCCAATCAACGACGAAACTCAGGCTGTCATGAGTTTGTCCACGTGATGGACAGTGCGCTTGTGTCACCCGAAATAGCGTCAAAATGAACATAAAAAGACGCCTGGCCCCTTCTGTATTAGTGTGCATGTATGCCAAGAAGCTTGTTTTCAAGGGACAGTCTTCGACCTGGGCCCGGGGGCAACGTCTTCCCTCCCCACTCTCTCGTTCTCTGTTTGGCATCCTCTCGTCCTCGCCTACTCTACGCGGGCCAGAAGTCTCCTCACTCGTCAATTGCCAGCGGCTGTTCTCCTCTTGCCTTCCAGAACGTGTGACTCTCCTCCAGCTGCTGCGGTGATACAGACACTCCCACCTCCGTGGATACCCCGCTAATCTGGCTGCTAACACGACGGCGTTCAGAGGGACGAATCCATTCGAGAGGTTGCGCGACCGAGCATGAACGCGGACAGCTTCTACGACACTCTCCTTGCCTCAATAGGCCATGGTGGACGCGAGAAAGATCGTATGCGAGCGGATGTTGCACCACCACAAATCGAGGCCCCCGTGGCCGGCGATGTTGTGATCAAGCCAACTCCTGCAATTGCCCGTCCTTCTCCGCCGGTTGTCAAGACGGAGGGCTCACGGTTGGATGTCGTTAGTCGCCCCCCACGAACTACGCTGCCCGCCGATACACCTGCGGTCAAGGCCGAGTCTGTCGAAACACCAGCGATCGGAGTCGGGGCTGCCTCTTCGCGAAAGAACGAGCCTCTCGCTTCTTCGGCCTCACCCCCCAACAAGTCATTGACCCAGCTGGAAGCGGAGCTTCGGGCTAGACTGTTGGCTTCGACCAAGAAGCGGAAAGCCCAAGGGGCTAGCCGACCTCCCTCGCTACCACCGTCCAAGAGACCGCCGAGAGGATCCCCTGTTTTCACAGCCGTCCCGCTGACCAGTCGGTCATCCGGGGAAGAGGCTTTGCCCAAGCAACCCAATGTCCCCCAGAGTCCTGTATCCCCATTCGTCCCTGCCCAAGAAACCCCAACGGTGTCTCAGCCGCACGGAAAATTGGCGTTGCCTCCCAAGCCTCCCCAGCGCGACGGCTTCAAGCTGCGCATCAAACTGCCCTTTGCATTTGCTGGGTCATCTTCCATTACGCTGGAGACTGACAAACTTCCGCTTACTACCCCCATCTCCGCAATCCTTGATCTGTTTAACCGCCGCTCTCCGCTAGATCATTTGTACTTTGCCCCCCCTTCCCCCCGGGATGAACCCCACCCCGAACCTACGCGGAGTGATGCGGACGAAGAGGGTGTTGTCGGTCTAGGTATTGCGATAGACTCGGGTCAGAGGTTCTACCGGGATCCACCTCGGAATATGGGAGTCGGAGGATGGCGGGATCCTGCACCTAGTAGGGGCGGTCCAAATTGGGATCCGGGTGTCGGAAATCTGAGGGCTACGTTGGAAGATGTGGCAACTGTATTTGGTGCCGAGATGGTTGAGTGCGAAATTCGATGCGATCCGCGCCCTAAATCTTCTCACCGCCGGGGAAGTGGTGGAGGAAGCGGATCCGCAGCAGTCGACTCGAAGCAGGCCGACTATTATGAGGAAGATGATGACGAGAAATGGCAGGAAGCCAAGCCTGAAGATGAGTGGGTCTCACCGGCCGTGGAGCAAGGCCAATGGGATTACAATATGTATGTCGCGCCGGGGTCGTGGGATGCTGCCATGTTTACGGCAATGTCAATACCCATGGACTGGATCCCTGGCATCCCTGGCATCGCCGCGTACCAGCAGCACCGCACACCCCAAGAGCCCGACCTCGAACCCGCCCAGCGTTGGATTCCCGGCCACCAGGACTACAATGATGCCGGTTGGAGATTTGGATTTGGCCGCAACGATCACCAGGAGTCTTCGCTGCCTACCCGTTCACTTCCAACGCACATCAATCCTCCTACCCCAGTTCCCTCAACCGCTACTGCTGGTCTCACTCCGCCAATCCCCACAGGTCCGCGCACCTCAACAATTCCCTCTCACGTTCCCCCTCGCCAGCCTGCCACTGAGAATAAGAAGAATAAAAAGCGTGGAGGTAATGCGGCCCGCGGTGGTGGAGGCGGCAGGAAAAAGAACAAAACACCATCTGGCAAGAGAGGAGTTCGGGGTGGTGGCAATGGTGGTGGTGGCAATGGTGGTGGTAGTAATGCTGGTGGTAATGGTAGTGCCAGTGGTGGTGGTGGCAAAAGTGGTGGCAACAGTGGTGGCAGCACCGCCATTAGAAGCGCTTAATCCACCAACCAGGTGAGCACTCTTCCATTCCCGACCTCGGTCTGTCATACCACGCCCGCCAGTTGCGTGTGTATCTGATAGGCTACAGGTGTTTGACGACGTGCACGCCACGGTTCGAAGTCGCTGCACGGTTTTCCATTTTCCTTTTCGTACAATTGCATTGGATGGCGGTTTCTGCTTCCTTGGCATATGGTGTTTGCCTGCTTTCACATACCGTACTTCTCTGGCTTCTACTCTTTCATGTAATGTTACCCCCTGTTTCATGCGTTAAGAAAAGTGCAAGATTACCTAGAATCTTGTACTTCTTAATACACCTTTTTTGCCTGTAAAATGATGTGGCTTTCGTGACCTGCTTCATCATCTCGGATCACTCGTGCGTTGAATCGACCACCAAGATGAATCCCTGTTGATGCGTGATGACCGTGGATATAATGCTGCACCAAATAATGTTCGCTTAAGTCAGCTGCAATTGATTCCGACTTGAAGACTGGATTCAGTGATGAGTTCAATGTCGATGTTCCATCTAGTCCGTGGACCGGACCGATGCGCAAATCGTAAGACTATGCAACCAGCTGGCCGGTATGCGAACTCGACAAGAAAGGCTCAACCAATAATTATGCCAAAGCATAATGCAGCGGGCTACCAGGTAACATGACTCGACCGCGGGGGAAAATGGTCATTATACCTAACTGCTGAGTTGTGATCTTCAGCTCTAGTGTTTCTGGGTATTACCGTTATGGTTCGGAGATCATGGTGGAGATTGGCGACTCGCGAGCCGGGATGATAGAAGGGAATTTCTGGGTCCGCGAGAGCTGGCCGGCTTGCGAAATGTTCTCCAGCTTTCCGAACTAGACAGTTCGTGAAATTTGAAGCTTCAGGCTCGTCGAATGGATAGAATCAATGTGCTGCTGCAATATATATGCAACTCGAACACCTCCATCCAACCTGACTGAGTGCCCACCTCAATACTAGCCCGCTCCCCAGAAAGCAGAAAGTAGAAAACCCCCAGAAAATAAAAACATGTCTCTTTACTTCACAAACCGCCCCAACCCCGGCGCACCCTCCCTGTTACTCTTGCTAACGCTCGCGCTTCTCATCCCTTTCACGCCGCCGAACCCCTCGCACCTCCTGCAGCTCCCGCTGCTTCTCGGCGCCAGCACTCCGCACCGCCTCTGCACTCCGCTGCTGCACTTCACCTTCCTCGCGGGGATACTATCGATCTATTCCTCCATCACACCGCTAGCCGCCTGGTCGCTCGCCGCGTCGGTGGGGCTATACGCGCGGATGTTCCCGGCAGGGACTAGCAGGAGCGTGGTGGCCAAGTTGCTGTTGTATCTTGCGTTGAATGCTAGGCTGAGGGAGGGCTGGGAGATCACGGGTATAAACTGTGATTTCACGGAGGGGTGGTGTAATGTGCGCGCTGGCGCGTGGCAGCGCATAACTGTGTGGGCCGCTGTTACGGCGGTGAGGTTTTGGCGGTTTGGGCCTTGATTGGATAGCATATGTGGAGAGAATTGACATTCCCCATATAGTGGTTGAGAGGTGGGATAGGTCTCGCAGGTAGAGGCAAGGTAAATGACACACTGTGGGTATCTGGTATGCAGTGGAGAGGTCATTCGTCCTGTTGGCGTGGCTGATCTTGGAAGCGCCTCGAAGGTAGGTATGGAGTCTGCCCTGAATAGCGTCTGTTTCCGTCGTTCAAGTAGGTGAAGTACTTGCAGGCTTCATGAACTGGGACTCTCAGTAGAGGAAAGGAGAGTACAGTTGTCTACCCGAGGAATGGGCCAAAGTTCAAACGCGATTTGCGAGTTTGCGGGATATATACATAGACGCGGTGTATGCTAAATTAGATCAAGTGCTCGGGAGTCGGGAGTCGGAGGTTGGCCGCAGTCAACTCGGCTGGATTGTGTAATGGCCACGTGACAGTCAGAACCTAATCGCGCCCCGCACTTCACACTATCTACGGTAACTCACTAGCAACGACACGCTAGCTGCAACGTTTCAACTGCCTCGAACTTTACGCCCCACCCACGACGATAGTTAATTGCAACGCGCCGAATCCCGATACCACAGCCCATCATGGACGCCATGGACATCGACATGCCCTCACCGGTGGCGCCGCCCATTTGCGTGCTCGACAAGCTCCCCGCCGAGATCCTCCTACAGCTCACCGACTACCTATCGCAACAAGAGCTCCAAGATCTAGTCAAAGCGTCGCCGCGCAGCCAGTCGCTGCGCAAGCTCAACATCCTAACATTTGCATGCAAGACCTTCGCGCCCTGGCGGCGGCGCTGGACGATGTTCAGCCAAGCATATTCCGCCGCGCTCCTCGAAGCACAGGACGCCGCATGGAACGCGAATCCGACCGGTGCATCATCGCCCGCGATCCAGTCGTTTACCGTGTCCGTCGTCAGCTCGGCGCAGGTCCACCGCGAGGGAACGGTGAAAAAGGGCGACAAGGAGAAGCACCTGGAGTCGGTCATGCAGACTGTCTTCGAATGCTATGGCTTTCTCCCGCCGAACTGGGCGGCGAGCGCGGCAGAGCCGTTATCGCCTTCGAAACATAGTATCCGCCAGCTGAAGCGGTATACGTTGAGGAGCGAGGCGCTGCGGTTTCCGGTCATCACCGAGAGGATGGTTTTTGATGTGATTAAAGGGCTGTTTGATGAATCACAAGCGGATGAGAGGGGGTATTTATGCTTGAAAAAGCTAGGCTGCGAGTTGGGGCTACTCAGGAATGAGCTGGAGACAGTGACCGGCGCACCGGTATCTCTCATCCGGAGGATCGTTCCGCACCACAACATAGAAGCCGGGGAGGAGCTGATGCAGTGTTATATGCTCATTACGGCATATTTGATGTACACATCTCTCGAGCCGTCACAGCTGCGAGGGGTAATTGTGCGTGCGACTCCGGTGGAGAACGTCGGGAAGCACTACGATGATCGGCGTAAGGTGCTGACGGAGTATCTCTGCTTTTTGGGGCTGTGGATGGATCTGTGGGAGGCGCAGATAGGGTTGATGAGGTTTCCCAGGGAGTATAGAGTGCCTCTGAGCGCATTTACACCGCAGAACAGACGAGTGCTGCATGGGGCGTTGAAGGTGGCTCTAGGAGAGATGTTTGCGCCTGCAAAACCAATCATGAGAGAAGCAAGTACCTCCAGCCAAAGACTAGCACAACCGCCTTCTACGGCAGCGCCAGCAGTAAGGAAGGGAACTTTTGCACCGTCGAACCGATCACACTCTCTCACCATGGAGTGCTCCTCTCAACCGACTCATGGAGGCCGCCGTGGGTTTCAAAGAAGCAACTCTTGGGGGTTGGATGGCTTCGGATCGCAAACATGTGCAGAAGCACCTGAGACGCCTATATCCACATTAACAACCGAGCAAAGAGGGGTGGTAAACGCCGAACTAAACTCAGGCGAGCTCATGAAGATCCGAGCTTATGCTGGCACCGGGAAAACTAGGTGTCTTGTAGAATACGCAAAGCTGCGACCACGGAAGACCTTCCTCTACGTAGCATTCAACAAGAGCGCTGAAATGGATGCGAAATTGAAGTTTGGATCCAATGTGACTTGTATGTGCCCTTCGTTTGGTGCAAGCAGGTCAGGCTTATAGTTTTCAGGCAAAACCGTTCATGCTCTCGCTCTCAGTGTGCTCAGTCATCTCGCCCCACACGTCTATGCGGCCAAGGAAGATGAAACTATGCCGATCCCGAGCTTTTGGGGAAGTAAACAACTCGTGGAACTGCTGAAGCTCGACGAGGAACAGGTCATCAGAGATTCACTCCAGAACCCGGAAGCACACTACAAGCCTGGCCGCAGGAAGAAACGAACCACCGCAGAATCCGATCGCGCAGCACAACCAGGATACCAGCCCAGCCAGACTCAGGATGGGCAAAAGAAGCCATTTCCTACCGCCGCCACCGTCGCAAATGTCGTTAAAAGGACTTTGGAGCGGTTCTGGAACTCTGTTGAAAGCGACGTCCAGGAGAGTTGCTTGCCGAAGTTCATGATCGAAAAGCTAGGCTTGAAATCCTCGGTGGTGTTGCGGTGGGCTAAGGATATTTGGCGGGATATTGGGCGTGCAGTTGCACCTTGGCTTCCCCACGATGCGTATCTCAAGCTTATGTATCTCTTGGGCGTGGGAACCGAGGGTGACAAGAGGGCGTTTGGGCATTACGATGTCATATTGTTCGACGAAGCCCAGGACGCCAATCCATGCATGGCCACCATCATTCTTCGGCAACAGGCGAGGGGCGTCGCACTGATCGTGGTCGGAGACCCCTACCAACGCATCTACGGCTTCCGCGGCGCCGAGAACGAGGTTTTCGATGACGAAAGGTTCCCGCCTCAGACGACGCATTATCTTACGTGGAGTTTCCGATTCGGCGACGGGATAGCTTCGGTGGCCAACATCCTTCTCAGCGCACTCGGCGAAAAGGTTCCAGTTAACGGTGTCCGAAAAATTGACTCCGTTAGTGCCGTAGCAAAAACCGCACAGTTAGCATCGCATCCAGAGGAGTCATTCACCGTAATATTCCGCAAAAACGTCTCGTTGATAGAATACGCCATCATGCTCGGTATCCAATGCCCCAATCACAGGATGTGCCTGAAGATCCAACGCAACTTCCGGAAAGCAACACTGTTCACCAACCTCCGCGAAGCACACGCACTCCTACACGAGGGCCGCATCGCAACTACCTACCCCCTCAAGAGCTGGAAAACCTGGGAGGACCTCAAAAACCACATCGAAGCGGAGCATGAAGACGGCGGCTCCTCCGATTCACCAATTCTCAGCCTTGTCGTTCAGCTCGAAAAAACCTTAATGGACCCAACCTTCCCCGCACTCCTCCAACGTGTGGAAGCAAACGTCCTCGATGATTCGGAAATGCACCTCGCGGACATCATCCTCATCACCGCCCACCAGGCCAAGGGGCTAGAATGGGACCGCGTCCACGTTTTCGACGACTTCAAACCCGACTATTCCGTTCGCAACCGCCTCCAAAAGATCAAATACTGGCGCGAGGAAGCATGCGTCCTTTACGTCGCCCTCACCCGCGCCCGCAAAGAACTACTAATCCAGTCTCCTCTTCGAGAATGGCTCACTGGCGACCGCGGCTGGCAAAAAACATACCTTCAGCTGAAACCCAGCACTTGCCAGTTCATCGAATCTGCCATGGACTCGTTTCAGCTAGAGTTTGAGCCACTCCGTCAACTGAGCAATATCCTCATAAATACCCACAACCTCATCCCGCCGAACAGCTTCACGGGAGTTATCGATCTCTCGCCGAACTTGAACTCCCCTGTACGAGGGGGTGCGGTGTGTCGCCCCGGCCCTACGTTCAACGTCGCGCACAGAGAGATCATGTGCCTACGCTGCGCTTCATTGATCATGTCGAATCTCCCCGTCCATCGCCACGGAAGTTGTCCGGAAACGGAGCAGTATGTGCGCGTAATTGTTCAGAGGATCTTGAGGCTCGAGCAGAGCGAAGATGATGAGGAGGTCGTATGGTGTGAGCGATCCCCATGGGTGGAGGTTTGGCTGGCGTGGGGTGGCGTTGAAATGGAGCGCGTTGATTTTTGGGGTAGAGGGGTGTGGCAGCAGTTGGTGCGGGATGTGGAGGAATAATGTTAGGGGGATATAATTGTAAATGGATACGGACGATTCTTGGGTGCCAACTTAGGTTACGGTAGTGTATTGAGTATGGTACATATTACCTATTTGCATTGGGAAATGGACTTGCTACACTATGTTCTACGAAAGATGCCCCCATTGTCTCGAAGGTCTTATATGTATATCATACTTCTTTGTCATATGTACGTCCTCTCTAGATCAGAGCTCTGGACGCATAGGGTCCAACTTCATTATGTGTACCAGTGCGAGTGACTCAAGGTGAAACGACCTCGCATTGACGAGTGGTTCGTTGTGATTCTCCGGTAAAAGCACCCCTGTCGGATCGAACGGGTTGTTTGGAACTTTGGGTCGCACATATATTCTCTATATCGACGTGAGAGCTTGATATAGCCTGTGATAAGCGACGAACAGAGAATGTTAACTCTCGTCCTACGTGACTACTACCTACTCTTTATCGTGCTATCCGGCGGGCTCCTTCCGCCGTAAACGCGCGCGAAGCTGGCGGGAGTGTCCGGTCAATTTTGGGACGGGTTTTGGGTTTCGAGGATAGTTGCTTCTTGCTTGCACTATAAACAACCGCGAAGGACTTTACGAGTGACTAGTTGCACGATTCCTGTGGCGCGATAAGCATGGCTAGTCTTAGGTGTGGAGCCTTGGAGGAGCAATCATGCAGTGTAACCAGCTGTGCTGCTCCCTGTATTCCTTGAATTCCCCAGCCTCCCAGCGCGCTGCGGGGACAGTATAAGTTGGCATAATCCTCGCAACTTTCTTTCTCGAATCCTCATACGATGGAGGAAGAAGAACTTACGACACTGCAAATAGACAGATACACCCGCTCCCTCGCCGCATGTCTCGCCCCCGGCCCACTCAACGGCCAGTTCGTGGGCAAAGTTACGCTACCGACGAAGCTCGAGGCGATACTCCCAGAGCGGGTTAAGCCGCCGCATAGACTGTGTCCCTCCATCCCCGTGGAGTCAATCGTTCAACATCTAAAGGATTTGCTGAGCGACGGTCTGGGAGCGGAATTGCATTCGGGCTGCAATGGCGACCTGGCACATATCATCTTGCCAGTTCACCTACCGGTGGCGAAGTATAACGAGCAGCAGTGGAGAGGAGCCCTAGCTGGGGAGGTGACAGAGGAGGAGTGTAAGGCTGCCGCTTTGTTATTTCCGGCTATTCCACCCTTCGCTCCTATGTTTCTAGGAGGCACTCGTTTCACGGAATTCACGCCGACACCCATATCGGTGAAATCGGCCGACCTGTTTACGGCTACGTCTGAGAATAGACTCGAGGGTAGCTTCGCACTCGGGGAAACAGAGACATATACCCGAGAATCACTGCCACCTAAATCGCCATCTACAGTATCTCAAGCCTCCTTACCGTCCTTTGAGTCGCTCGCTCTAAAAGCCCCAACCTCACCTCACCTCCCAAAGAATAAACCACTCCCATACCGAATCCAACACACGTTCCTCCCATCACTCCAAACCCTCCTCGAGGAAGCTTGTCACAGCTACATCAATGTTCACAATCAGCAGCTTCTCACGAAACACGGCTGGACAGACCCGCAGGCCGCAGAATTGCATGTGTATGTTCGGGAGATCATTGCTATCTGGCCCGGGGGTCCAAGTGCACTCCCGATGCTCAAAGCACTCCCGCAGCTGCGACATGAGGCTGTTCACCGGGTTCCAGTCTCATTCGCCAGGATGAATGTGTTTTTTAATTTGGCGCTACTGTGTACGGATGCCCTCGGGACCGACAAGGTTGGAAAGAGGATTCTCCGACTACGGAAACGTTTCGATCGTTGGCACGATAAGCAGTCGCTTCAGGAGGATCTGGCTGAAATGATGGAGGAAAGGATGAGACACCTTGAGCTGGTGCAGAGGAAAGTCGCAAAAGAGATATCGCAGTGGGAGGCTTTCGCATTGCAACGCACGGCTTGCCCGCAGCAACCGGAGCGTGTCGAGTTGGCTCGGCTGATGGCAGCTGTTGAACCCATATTATTCCCCCAGGCGGATGATTATGGGCGGGACGAGGAGGAGAAGGAAGAGGAAGAAGAAGGGGAGGAGGATTCCGGCTATGCCCAGCTGCATCATGGTTTCCCGCAGTGGAAATTCAGAGATGATACATATGTCGGGGAATGCGAGACCGATCGGTAGATTGGCTGTTGTACGATGTTGATAGTGGCGGGGAGAAAAGAGAAACGTGTAGGTACTTGGTGTTGAGGGCACTCTGACATCTCTCTTCTCAATTACATCTGTGATATGGCTAGAGATACGTAATCATCTATTGTATTGTACAATACATCGATGGGCCAGGTGGTTGGGATCCCAGTCCATGTTGACCTGAGCTATCGCGAAAGCATTTCAGACGCTGAGCTGGCGTCGTGGTGTACGGCAACCCACTTCCGGTGGAGCTTTGCCGGATCTAGTCTAATTTTAGGATGTGTTTCGAAACTGAGCCAGACTCCAGGGACCAGCACATGAAGTTACCGGCGGTAAAAACTGAAAAGAGACCCAGGGTACAAGGAATTCGGCAAGCCGCATTTAAGTAAACGCGAGGTTTCATATAAACTGGCTATTAGCACAAAGTGCGGCTCATTTGCACTGATAATTCAGGCTTCAGCATATAAATCGGCCTTTCTTCCTCACAGCGTACGGGTTACAATGTTAGGCAGCCCGGCAAGTAGGCGTTTGGTAGCAATTGGACTCTCGCCTCCACAACCGGCAGCGAAAGGGTGTCACGTGATACTACCGAGTGATATCTACATATTTAGCACCTACTACCTAGCCTACTAGCACGCGAGCACCTGTTAAGTACTGAAGCAATTGGAAAAAACAGCAGAAAGAACTGTGGGGAGGTGGAAAAGATCAGCCGCAGAGGGCGGGACCACTGGCGAATAGCGAACCTCTTTGCCGATGAGCGGATGGCTGGAGCAATCCTCAAGTTCCTCCGAGACACGGAGATCTGTAGAAGGATACCAGAAGGAAGGGAGCAGGGCCCACCGCCGAGCGTGACGTCGGGGGTGGACTACGGGGGCGAGGGGTAGGATTTGAGGAGGAGAAGCGTAGCGGGCGCCGGAGGTGTGAGATTGGTTCGCTTTCTTTTGTGTTTTTCATTGGCTCGTGTACTCCTCTCTCGCGGGTAGGCGAGAGACGCCGATTAGTTAGTCTCACGGCACTGGCTCTCTTTGGTGTGGACGTCGTGATATACTTAGGTCTATAGATACGTCAATAAAATGATTCCCCCACCCTAGTCTACTGGTTAGTGGACGAGAGTTGCATGTGACAATAAGCTACGTGAATCGTGGAATCGTGGAGCCTTTTTGAGTGGATGCATTTGTCAATCCACGGCCAGCCTCGAGGCGCGGCATGCGTTGCCCACAGGTGAGACAAAAACCGAGACGGTGTAACTGTGGTGCGCAGCCCCGCATTCCTTCCGGCCAGCCATCGCACGTTCGGTGACGATATAATTTGGGGTAATCCTGACGCCTTCCGCATGAATTCCCCATACATACTATGGAGAACGAAGACCCTTCGAGACAACAACAGGTAGATAACTACATCCGCTCCCTCGCCGCATGCCTTGCCTCCGGTCCTCCCGACGGTCGGTTCGTGGGTAGTGCGCAGCTGCTCGCGAAGTTCGAGGCGATACTCCCTGCGGCCGGGTCGATCTGGCTGTGGGGGGGTAATGGATTCATTTACAAGAGGGCTATCCTTAACCAACTCATCGAGTTTTTCGGGGAGTGGCCTCAAAAAGGGTTTGCACGACACTTGCGGCAATATATTACCAAGCGCGGCGGATATGATCCTACTGCAGCACCTACCTGTGGTCAAGTACAACGAGCGGCAGTGGCGACGCGCAGATGGTGACGAGGTGACGGAGAAAGAGGCGACGGAGAAGGAATGCAAGGCTGCGGCGGCATTGGAGGAGTTCTTCCTGCTGGCGCAGTCTTGCGCGTACGAGTTCGAGAACAGCAATGTGCACGAGAGGATAGGTCGGCTACGGCAACGTTCCCACGACTGGTCGAAAGAGTATTGGCTCCGGTAAGATCTGGCAGAAATGATGGAGGAAAGGTTGAAACACCTTGAACTGGTGGAGAGGGAAATCGCAAAAGAGAGATCGCAATGGAGTGCTTTCTCATTAAAGCACGCGGCTTGTCCAGAGCAACCGGACAGCAATGAGTTGGCTGGTTTGAGGGTAGTTGTTGAATCTGCATTATACCCTAGTGACAGAGGGAGGGAGGAGGACCCACAGGAGGAGGAGGAGGAGAAGGAGGGGAGGGGAGGGGTTGTGATTATATCCGATTACATCTTGGTTTCCCACGCTGGGAAATCTAGGAGGATCCCAGGGTTAATTAGTATCATAGGTTGGATGTCTTAATATGTTGGTAGCCTTCAGGGAAGCAAACGAGAACTACATGTATCATACGAGTACTTTGTTGAGCACTACGGCACCTATCTTCTGTTGTGTTTTTGATGAGATTAGCTTGGAATATCAAATACATCTTGAGTTTATCTCGGACCAAATCATCCCTCGTGCTTTCGATGGGCTTGCCTAATCCGCTTCGTTGGCCAAACGATTGAACCCGTCGGAATATACGAAGCTCATGTCACATGACGAGGTCTGAATTTCGATACAGACAGGTTTTGAGCAGGATAGCTTCGAGCGCACTGAATACAGGCACCCTGGTCCAGGTCGAGGTATGCGATAGATTCTTTCCGCCGCAGTCGCGCGAGCTGAAGTATCGAGTCGCCCGATTTTGATAATTCGATTTGGACGTTTAGAATCATCTCCATCCCCGGGGATTCGCTGAGAGGTGTTACATGAACCCACCAGTACAGATGTTCATCCTCCGCCCACCCCAGAACTGGCAAGGTTGTCCGGGGAGATAGCGAAGCAACGAGTTATGCATCATGTCCCCGACGCCGCAGCGCCGAAGCGGCCATCACGGTTCTCCCCGGCGGTATTGACACATGGTCAACTCCAATAGAGTCCACCCTGTCTATTTATATCAATTCCGCATCACTACGATTTCACGTCTCACCAAGTAGAGGTGTAGATATTCTAAACGGGATCCAGCACTGCGCCTGTTGGCATAGAATTGTTCAACTCCTCCTCCCACTCCTGGTAACAACGAATGTGATGGGCTGCTACAAGTCGCCATCAGGATAGAGAAAGGTGCGTGAAACAATTGTGGAGAACTTTCGTGCGAATCGAGCTTCCTGATCCGTGGCCGGTCACTCGGATGCGGCAAGCATGCACACACGGTTCAATCTCCATCCCCGCGTTCATTCCATGTGAATGAAGCGGCAAAAGTATAACTCGGCGTATTCCTCATGTCCGATATCTTCAGATTATCGTAGCTTTCTTTTCATCCGGAATGAGAGAGGTCCTAGTTCGTCCCTGAAGTCGCTTTTGAAAGGGCTCTTTTCCAATGCCTCTCCAGGCTTGACGAGAAAAGAGCGCACACAGGGGAGAGAGATGAGATGGGAGGTTGACCGTCTATTCGATAGATGATGATTGAGAAAGAAGAATAAGAAGAGGAAGACCCCGCCATACCCGCCAACGTTAATTCCCACCGCTACTAACTACATTCGTTTCCTCCCGCCGACAGCTCTCCCATCACTTTCTCCTCTCGCTAACAGCTCCTCCTTCACTTCCGCCTCTCGCCGACAGCTCCTCCATGCCCAACGGCCCCGCCATCCGCGACGGCCCCTCCATCTCCGACAGCTCCTCCAACTCTCTGTCGCAACGCCGGATCTCATGTTGTTCGTGCATAACATTCTCGATTGGCGAACGAGCTGCGTGAATATCGGGGGCCTCTGCTACTTCGGGAAATAACAGTACATCGTTTTGGTGAGCGGGCTCTCCCAAGGCCCGGGATTCGGTACTTCTTGTGGAAGATTTTGGAGGGCGTCCGGTATGAGGCTTATTTTTCAGAGCGTCGAGTCTTGCATCGAAGCTTTCGCCTTAAGCTCGTTACTCTGCTCTGTGCAAGATCTGTCGAGCAGTATTGCGTTTCACACCAGTCTTCTTCGCGATATCGTTCCAAGAAAAGTCGGCTTCATGGAGCCCAAGTATTGCTGCTCTTTTCGATAGGAATGTTTCGTCCACGTTTTTCTGACATTGTGGGTTGCTGATGAACGAGTTTTCTAAGTGTCGTCACATATATATAGGGCTCCCAATGACGTCCTGACATAAGGCTCCGTCCCTCGTGACGCCAAGATTCTCTCTCTCTCTCTTAGCATTCGCGATGACGAAGCGGGGTGCCGTGACATCCCCATGACATTCCGGCCGTGTAAGTACTCTAGACCGAGCGAGCCTAATGCTTTCTAGCCTGTCCGAACCCAAGAATTGGATGGGCTGGGTCGTGAAGAGCGCCAGATAATTACTTACATACTCATATTCATGTTGGCAGAGGTAGGTGAAAAACGAAACCGATGTTGAGAAAGTTCCATCATTCGACCTACAGATAACTAATCCGCTATGAACCCAGAAATATCTTGAAGATCATGAAGCCTCTCACTCGTCTCGACCGCACGATTTCTGGGTAATTCAAAAATTACGAGTAAATATGTGTATAAACTAAGAAGCCCCGGTGCTCCGCCAACGAAATATCAGGGCCCTAAATCCTTTGTACACTCTCCCACCTCCAACCTGGGCTTGGCCCTTGGGGTTTCTTTCCCTTCGAGATAGTCGGACACCACCCATCGCCTCCACTAATCTCCCCACTGCCCTGCTGCTGAGTAATCTTTCAGCTTGCCAATAGTAACAGAGAGGAAGGGGCCAAGTATCATTCTTTTCCCCGCTGCCGCTGCTGCTCTATCCTGTCTAGAATTTGTTTCCTATCATAATTACTACTAGTTTCCCCAAATTTTTGGAATCAAGTCAAATACGAGGGAGGTACTCACGAAAAAGAGGGACCAAAAATCAGATAGCCTCCTTCCAACAGCACGGGTAGCCACAAGAAAACCGCCACGATCTGCCCAAAAGTCCACACATCCTCGGCATAGGCCTCTCTGCCCGCCATCTGTTTGATCCCAACTTTCATTGTTGTTATGATCGCTAACCCGACAGCTCCCCAAACCAGGCTGATCACGATATGAAGCTTCTTGGTTGCATTGTTCCATCTCCACTGAGCGGGCTTTATCACCTCAGCGGCTGTTTCCGACGGCCCGTTCTCGACGGGCGGGGTGTCGGGCGGATTGGATTTCTTTACTCTCCCGAACCAGAAGCGTAACCCCACCACCAAGGAAGCCAATGTGTACGAGTAGGGAAACACCCCCACGACGTAGAAGAAGTGCCTGCTTTTGAACAGGGGCGACTCGCACGTGTGGTCCGGGTATCTCTCCCCGCTGCTGGCCGCGAGTATTCCCGCCGCAGAAGCCACTGTACACGCGAGAATGGTGCAGATCACCGCCAGTGCGTGCCGGAAGTTCTCACGCGTCTCGCCACCTATAGCCGCTCCGGGCGGTGCGTGCTTCCACATGCTGCAGGCGATGGGGAGCGTTGGGATCGCAGCGATGATGGGAATTAGCGCTATGAAGGAGACCTCGTAGAGGGTTTTGGCCGTCACGAGGAAAACCATCGATGCAACCGACACCGGGAGGGAGAAGGCGATGCACGTGTCAAAGAATATGGTGCGCACCGTCCGATACTTTGATATGTTTGACGTTTCGATCATATGCAAGATTGCGAAAGTCGTAAATAGAATTGTCTCCAGAAAATACGCAACAATCATCTACGAATAAATTCATCACCGTCAGTAAGCAGAAACGCCAGTGTAGTTCCGCGGAAACACGAAACATACCCCGATGCCGCCGGTATCCGATTGTCCGGCGAATTTGGCATACGCAGTATTGCATATGTTTCTCCAGCACGTCCTCTTCGCCCGCTCCATGGTCGCCCCATTCATGGCCGGCGTGAAATCCCCCGCAGGTTGGAAGAGGTAGTTGTCGATGTAATCCTGGAGCTCCGCGGTGGTAACATTATCGCGGTACTGGTCGGGGAGGGCGAGACGTATGAACTCCGGTTGTGGCTTGCCGACGTCGGAGTCAGCCGCGGTGTCCGGAGATCCGAATAGAAGACCGACGCCAGTACAATTAGCTGTAAAGTTCAGACTTGATACCGGGACGCCTGCGAGGACTGACATTTTTCCTCTTGTCCTTGGTTAGAGGTTGCAAAGTAGGGAATCCACCTACCTACTTCGCGGGGCGGATTCCTACGGATTGTATAATAACCACAGTAGTAGCCGGCCCGCTTCCAATCCTCAGCAGCTGATGCTCCATAGGCATACTGGCCAATAAAAAACCAAAAAAAATAGTCAATTCGATCGGTTGGCTGAGATACGGCCATGTGTTGGTACGACGCAACGCCTGCATGAATGATTGCATGAATTGAACGAAAATCTAGATTCCACGATTAGAGTTGTGCAATGTGCATACTCCATATACTCGATCGATGGCAGTATCACCGCTCTGCGTCTCGCGTGTTGTAGATTACTACATAGTTATTATGGGCTGCATACCCATCTGTAATAGTGGGAACTTGAAGAGTATGTACCAATGCCGGAATACTCTGAGTCCGAAACCCTTCTTTCCTCTTCACGATGTTTTGTCAAGTTCTAACAATGTCTCAGTTGCTGGTCTCAGTTGCTGGCGTGGCTGTATGCATGCGCATGTCGGTCAGCCCGACTGTCAGGTTTTGTAGGTGCTCGTGCTGTGGTCAGTTTGTAGGCTGATATGTACCCCAAGCCGACACCCTTCCCCTCCAGCTGCAGAGTAGAGGGGTGTACCAATCCTCACAAGATCATCATTTCTAGCTCTTGAGAACGCCTGCTTCAACTGCTCCTCTTCCAATGGCGAAGTTTCATATGCGTCCTGCCAGTGATTGGTAAGGGAGCCCACAGAAGCTTTAGGATAGATAAACGGCGGTACTGTTGGTTGTCCTGCTTCTCGTTGGACAAGAGAACCCCTCTAGTTATACTCAGTACATGCTCACTCAATGCAGGGCACGATATGTAGTACTCTTAGGCGAGCCTTCGGCTCCCGAGCGCGCACGTTCAGCCGTCAGGGACTAGGTACATATTGTCGGCAAACGTGTACGTCATTATAGCCTTCCGGACGTCTAGCAATTCTGACAGAATCCGCTGAGGCAAATCCGCCGCCGTGCTCCGAAGCTTGTTCCAATCCCCATGGCCGGCTGCCGTTGGTTAGGAGAGGATTTTCCAATATTTGTGCCTTGAGGCCTGGGGTTTCAGAATTCCCGGTTAACACGTGGTAGGTATCGTTTGTAATCGCCGCTGCCTGCCTGGAACGAGTGGGGGTAGAGACTGCAGCCGCAGTGAGATGTCCATATATATTTCAATTCGTGACGCTTACGACGGTTCAGTGCTTATCGCGCGCTGCAGAGTTCACCAACTGTAGGTGAATATCCATCGACCATAGATAGGTTTGGGGGTGAAGGCATAAGTCGCTTGAATACTAAGGTTCAATATTCTAGAAAGGTATCATACATATCCGGGAAAGAAAATTGAAATCTATCGGGGTATCATTGTCGTCGTGATCCAAAGAAAATAAAAGACAAAGCAAGGCCGCCTACAAACACAGCGCTAAATGCCAAACGCAAGCCTCCAATCCGTCCCCCTCGCGAATACGTAAAATAGATACCACATCCACCAACCAATCGTCCCTTCACCCGGACAGTTTGATACAGTATCCAAAATCCCTCAGCATACGTCCGACCTCGACGAAGCCCCCAATCGCAAATGCAAACCCACCTACCACCACAAAGCCCATGACGATAGTCTCTAACCACGCCCACCAGGCTAGCTTCCTCCGGGCCTTAGTCGTCTGTCCCACCAGATTCAACGCGCCGATGACCTGGCCTACGACCAACCACCCCGCCATGAACAGCTTCTGTCTATTGTTGCTGCGGCCCGGCCGGAACTTCGATATCCCCCCGACGACAGCATATGGCAAGACCAGCGAAAACACCATTATCACTGCCACAGCCCACTGCCGGAACTTCTTGCTGCGTCTGTGCGATGAGCGTGAGAACACATAGCTCTGGCCCACCGGTTGCACGAGGATTTTTGCACGCGGGTCTTCCTGTGTATTGTAGGATCCATCGAGCGGCGGAATGAAGACGCTCCACGCCTTACGTCCGGGCACTGAGCGGCCATCGTCGTCAACCTCAATCGCCTTCCATCCGCCGCGCTTGCCGCGCAAGAATCGTAGGTCGACAAATTCCACGCCCGCCGCCGTCAGCTCGATGTCATTCTCCATATCTTTGCTCGCGGGTACTAGTTCTGCGACTTCACCGACGAATTCGCCGCCTTCGCGGTGCTCGGCTTCGAGCATTACGTCGGAGCGCACAAGGAAGAGACAGTCGTATGAGGCTTCCACGAGGTTTGCAATCGTGTTAAGAATGGACATTACGGTGTAGGGGACCACAGTGAAGCCGAAGGCGGCATAGCCATAGCGGGTGACTTGGTCGCCATAGGCAGAGTAGAGCGCATAGAGCGAGGAAATGATCTGGACTATGCCTGTGAAGGCTTTAGTTGCGTTGTAGGAGTTGGATATTACGATGTCGGTTTTGACAGCGCGGGAGACGGCGAGTGGCATCAGTTCAGTGCCGGGCGGTAACTTTGCTAGTGTGTATTCTGGGGGGAGTGTAAAATGACCTGTAGACACCACCACCACCATTTCCGTTAGTAACTGTTTCCTAGGCTGTATTTACAGACGACAGGAAGCACGTCCTTACCCTGGATCTTGTACTTCTCAGGATCGATTTTTGTGACACCCGGAGGTCCAATGATCAGTGTAGCCGATGAAGTTGAAAAACACTCGGCCGCGAACGCATCCTCGTCTATTTCCTCCTCCTCCTCCTCCCCCGTCAACATCGCACTATGATCCGAATCCGCATCCGCGTTAGGCCGCTGGTACACATGACTCCCCGGATCTCCGAGTAACTGCGGCCGCCCATCACTGCCTTCCTCATGTCTGCTCTGACGCTTTTCCCCCCGCCGGTGCTTCTTCTCCTTTCTGCGTCGCCGCTTAGCGCGCCGCTCCAACCTCCGCCGACCCCGCTCGTCACCCTCCACCACAACACACCCCTGTATAATCTCGCCGTGCGCGGGGCGCCACCCCTCCTCGCGCACGATTACACACAGCGCGTCGGCAAGTAACGCGCGATCCACATCGTTATGACCCAAAAACCGGCTCCCGCGTGCGATCGTGGCCGCCGCACCACTGATCCCGATGAACGGGACGAAGAGCGAGGCGAAAACGTAGAGGTAGTCGCGGGTGCCGCGGTAGCCCGACGTCTTTTTGTACGTGACGATGCGCGCGATGTAGTTCGTGAGGAAGAAGCTAAGGATTTGGTTCCATGGCGCTGGCCGCATGCATGCCGTGTTGGTCGCCTCGTCGAACTCGGCAATTACTTTGCGCAGCTGTAGGAGCGGTGTGGAGAGCGCTGGAGGCAGCAGCGATACTAGGAGGAGTAGGACCGTTCGTAACATCGTGAATAGGTTTGCGCCGCGGGGACATGAGGTGTGTTGGTAAGGAAACGACCTTGTCATAGAAGGGGAGACCCTGACCCTCGTGGTTGTTTTGACACTTGACCTGCGGGGATCTGGTCGTCGGAGCAACACACAGATGGTCTAGCCACATATGGAAGGCAACGCTTAAGCGCCGGTCATCTGCCGAGCCATTGTCTGTGAACGACAAACTGCTGGTCAGGATCACCTTCAGAGAAATACTTCCAATCTTAGATTACCACTAGAAACAATTTGTTAAATTATGCCAAGGAATCTTGGGGTAAGATAGTAATAGACTTTACCTTGAGATCGGGCTCAGAAATCCAGCAATCAGAAAGATTTTTTGATTCTGTTCACTATTACCTAGGTACCGAGTACGCACTTATACCGGTATCGACGATGTGAGTCTCAATGCAGGAAGCGGATATGGCTTGTAAGCGATCGAATTGGAAGCCGAGGTTCGTACTGACATGCACAGCCAGGGAGCTATCTAACACCAGCATTATTAGCTACCTAGATAGTCAAGTGGAAATATTTCTATGTATATCCGCACATCCATGCCAATGTTGTCTCAATTCGTTTGTTTGTTCGTTTCTTCATTGATCACGTGCGGCCCATCTAGAATATCGTAGTATACACACTCCCTTTCCAGTCCAGTGGTGTTTCTTTATAATCCCATGGTATCTCTTTCTAATCCCGTGGTATTTTTTCAGTCCCATGGTGTCTCTTTTTAGTCTCGTGACGTCTCGATTGTAGCGGATCATAATATCACTCCTGCGGCGAACGAGTGAAATCGTGAGGTTGAAAATTTGTAAGTTACCATCTTCCTCTTATACGACTGCGAGTTGATTGATCAAACAACGATAAGTATATGGGATAGAATATGAAAGTTCTACGTTAACCTCAATATTCGTATCGCTACAACGTTGACTGGACTCTAGTTTCTGGTCGGTATGTACAGTTTCAGCTAACTAAATATGAACGTTCGCTAGTCCGCCCCTTGTTAATAGCTCGAGCCCGAGAAAATATATGATAGAGCGTTGGGTAACAGCCCACTTCGGTCCTATCGCCTAAATTGGTGCTGGGGCGGTATCAAAAGATACCCGCTCTTTGCAGGTAGGCGGAGATTTCGAGCCGGCAGATGCACTGTAGGTGAGGAATTTCATATTTGGTATCACTCGACGCGCCGAACGTCCTACATACGATGAGGAGAAACCGATGTTTGCGGAAACGAAACGGAAAATATGTTTGCCGGTGGCACGTCCTAAAAAGTGCCAGCAACTTTTGGTAAGACCAATCAAGAACTCCAGCCAAATCATAAATGAAGTCCTTCCGGTTGATCGAGATTGACCATCAAGACATACACAAAAGAAGTACAAGGTTGCTTATCTACATACAGAAACCTCACTATTTCCAAGTAGATCGGAGTGACCGACAATAGTGTTATTTGAAAAGTTGCACGAGCTTCCCATCATCAATTTATCTACCAATCATTGCTTCCAACGCGGTCTGTCCCATGTTGTCCTTCACATCTCTGTCGGCACCACGTTCGATGAGAAGGCTGAAGACAGCCCGGTGGCCATTTACTGCGGCCAAATGCAGTGATGTACAGCCGCTAACATCCCTTGCGTCCTTTTCGACACCATTTTCGAGTAGAAGGCGGACGATACCCTGGTGGCCATTTGTCGCTGCCCAGTGGAGTGCTGTACGGCCGTTGTCATCCTTCGCCTCCTTGTCGATACCGATTTCGAGTAGAAGCCGGACGATAGTCTCGTGGCCATTCGCTGCCGCCCAATGTAGTGCTGTACGGCGGGAACTATCTCTTGCGTCCTTGTCGACACCACTTCCGAGCAAAAGCCGAGCGATACCGTCGTCACCCTTCGCTGCAGCCCAACGCAGCGCCGTTCGTCCTGTTTTATCCTTTGCATCCTTGTTCGCACCATGTCCAATTAGAACCCGAGCGACAGCCTCATGGCCATTTCTCACCGCAACATGTAACGCTGTCTGATCACCACCATCCCTCACGTCCTTATCGACACCATTTTCGAGTAGAAGACGGGCAAAAGCATCGTGGCCATTTACTGCTGCCCAATACAGTGCTGTCCGGCCGGCGGTATCCGTTGCGTTCTTGTGGACACCTTCTTCGAGTAGAAGACTACCGGTAGTCTCGTGGCCATTTGCTGATGCCCATTGGAGTGCTGTACGGCCACCGCCATCCTTTGCTTCTTTTTCGACACCATTTTTGAACAGAAACCGAACGACAGTCTCGTGACCATTCGCTGCCGCCCAATGAAGTGCTGTCCGGCCGTTGCCATCCTTCGCCTCCTTGTCGATACCGATTTTGAGTAGAAGCCGGACAATAGTCTCATGGCCATTCGATGCCGCCCAATGAAGTGCTGTCCGGCGGTTACCATCCTTCGCCTCCTTGTCGACACCGATGTCGAGTAGAAACCGAACGACAGCCTCGCGGCCCTCCTCCGCTGCCCGGTGCAGGGCTATCCGACCATCGCCGTCTTGCGCCTCCTTATTGGCACCATTGTCGATTAGAACCCGAGCGATAACCTCATGGCCATATCCAGCAGCCAGATGTAGCGCTGTTGCTCCCGCACTGTTCTTCGCTTCACTGTCGACACCACACCCGAGTAGACTTTTCATGGTCGTTGAATCGCCGCCTCGTATGCCAGCTAAGTGCACTGCACAGTTTCCATCCCTATCTCCGAGTTTAATGTCGGCGCTTTCCAACAATCTCTCAACAGCTTCATTTCGGCCCGCAATGACTGCCAGATGTAAAGGTGTTCTTCCGTAGTCGTCTTCTGCGTTGATGGATGCGTCCCGTCGTAGAAGTTGATTCAAAATCTCCACATGTCCATGGTAGGCTACCCAATGCAGCGGTGTCTGTCGCAAGCGGTCCTGCATCGCTTCTTTTGCTCCGGCATTAAACAACCTTCTGATGATGTCGGCATTACCGGACCGTGCTGCGCAATGTAACGGTCCTGACCCATCTCTACCTCGTACCTCCATATCCGCCCTCCACCCCAGAAGTTGAGACACTGCGTGTTCATTTTGGTTGTCGGCGGCCCAGTGCAATGGGGTAAAATCGGTGATGTCGATCGGATCCTTATCGGGGAAATTACTCAGAAATGATTCCGCGTGAGGACCATCGTGGTAAACACTAGTACCCGCAGAATAATAATGAAGGATTGAACAATCGAAAATGTCTTTCGTGCCCGTTTCCAGTCTTTTGTCGTACGAAAAACCGTCCACCACTCGGTCGACTATGTCTCGGATTTTCCTGGAGGATTCAACAAACCATCGTACGGGACGGCGTGGGTCGGTCGGCTGTGGTTCGAACGTACGCCGCATATCCAGTAACACATCTTGGAGGCTTGGGCGCTTCTGAAGCTCGTAAACCTCGAGCAGATCGGTGACAATGCTTCTATCGAGGGATTTCAATTCTGCAACGATCTTCCTTTCAAGTATCTCCAAAATTTCAACAGCACTACCTTGTCGCAATTGCTGTTTTGACAAACATAAGTCCGTCATGACAGAACGAAGGAATTCCATCAGAATCGCAGCCCCCTTATGGAATAGCGGATGCTCGGGCCCGAATGGTTTGCAGACCTCCCAAAGACTGAAATACAATTCTTCCACCTTGCTCCATTGCCCCGAAGCCTCAGGATTCCTTGTTTCGTGTCGCACCAGATCGATAATCTGCAGCGGTTCCGGAAGTTTGTCGTTGACACTTAGCGGCGGAATCAGCAGCATGTAGGCCTCTTCGGTGGTTGCCAGTCCTGCGATTTGAACCTCTTGAGCCATCTTTTGTAGAAGAGAATTCTTCAAACGAAACGATTTCCACGAAATGTCGCCTGCGCCGATGGCGGATACTGCTCTTGCAGTGGTCAGTCCCTGGATAGGGCCTTTCAGATGTCGTGCGACTGCCCATATGAACGACGAAAAGAACTCTTGGGCATACACAAGCTCGATCGGACCGTTCGACGTCGAAGCAAGCTGGTAAGCCTTTCCACGGGGATCTTGTTGAAGATTACTGAGATCGCCTGCAAGCCGATATCGCAAGTTGTAAAAGGAATTCTCAGTTGAGCCAGGGGCAGGGTCTGATTCTAACTGGGCTCCCAACGCATAATCCTTAGGTATCTTGATTAAAGGGGATTTGAGAACACCAGTCGTACCAGTGTTTCTGTCGCTTGTGGTATCGTTAACGTCTTCTGTCGCAGCAGTCTCGTTGGTATCAAGAACGATGACACTACTAGCTGCGCTGCCGCCCCACCATATCAAGTCTCGATGGGTGGGGAAGTCGTCAGGACCCAAAAAGCGTAAACTCTTCCTCGTCCCCGCGCGGCCGTGCCGTAACCAGTCCTTCTCCGTGTCCCGATTCCCACGGCTCCGTATCCAAGAGTTTTGGGCCTCTGTGAATAGGCGTAGAGATAGTGCAGCCTCAATTTCGGAGGTGCTGACCGTCCATCGGTTGGTGTCATCGTCCCATTTTAGGCTGAAGAAGACCTTTTGTGTGATGCTTTCTGACGTTCCGGGTACCACCACTTGGGCATTGATCGGGAATCGGAAGCCTTGGGGCAGTTTCTGTAGGTAAAGTGTGTTCATTACCGCCTCGATTGCTGTGGCAACTGAAATCGCTGCTTCGGAAGCGCGGCCCGTCCACTTGCTGAGCTGCCCTAATCGCTCTCGGATTGAATGTGCTCTTGATGCTAGGTCGTGACCCGGCTCCGTAGCCTTGGCCTCCTCCTCCGCACTCTCCTTCTCTACCCCCTCCTCCCCTTCCTTCTTATTATCGTTATTCTTATCCCAATCGCCACCTGTGACGGTCCAAGTTGGAGCCGAACACAATACGCCCACTCCCGAGTGAAAATTATCCCGCGGGATCGACCAAAGCGATTCCCCTCTTGCCGCAAGTTCAAGAGCGAGCCAATCCATCTCATAGCCATCGAGAACCCATTGTGCATCGGGGCGGCCAGCTAAATCTCGACGCAACCAGATTCTCACACACGTCATTATCGCAGTCCCAACGAACTGTGCCATGGTCGCAGACCAGTGCATCAATCGCAAGCCTGAGAAACTTAGTGTAAATCCGACGATGGTAGTGACCGCTCCGATGATGGCCAGTTTCTGGTGTGGTCCGCTGAGTTCCACCATCGAGTCGCCGGACTGCTGTGGAGTCCTTCCGTGACTGCCCATATTCTCGTCTCGTCGTGACGTCAGGATACAATCGCGAAGGCCCGGTGCAAAGATTGCGTATGAGTCGAAGGATTGGTCGTTAACAATTTTGCGTTGCTGCAGCCACAGAATATGGACCTGTGGTTCCGCCGGAGCCGCCCCTGCCGTCGAAGTACTCTCCTCCGCCTTTGCTTGCCAGGCCTCCTCTTTGGTGCTTTGTTCGATGATCCAGGCGCACAGGAACATACCGACTGTTGTTGTGATGATTCCAGCAGCTGCCACTGGATATGCCGAGCCCACAACTGGCGAGCCGTCTTTGCGAAACCTAGGGATCCATGGAGGATGGTAGATTGCCATAGCGCAAAAGACGAGCACGCCGAGCTGGAGAGATGCTGCAAACGCCACGAACCATAGCAAGGATTGCTTTCGCGAATACGGCGGAGGCGCAAGGTTGAGGGATATGTTAGGAGCGGGAGCTCCGTCAGTTCCGTCGAAGCCTTCCAATGGTTGCGAATGCCTCTGGGTTTCGACATCGCTGGGACGCACGGCATTGCTTGCTGTATGAACAGAAAAATTGAGACGGAAACTTTTGCACTATGCTTAAGGGTTCCCCACCTTTCAACTTTAACGCTGCATGTTTGGTCTCCCTTTCACTCTCATCGCGCAAGGTGTACAGCCCACATTCCTTCTTGTCCTTCCTCTCCTTGACGTACACCAGTTCCAGAATCTGTGGGGATCCCATGACCCGCACGATCGCTTGGCCGTCCCACATCTCGCAGACCTCCAGGCTCGTCGATGACAGGAGTTCCAGTTCGGCCATAGCACGGCTTTCCCTTGCTCTACCAACAAGGGCTTTCCAGGAATTCGGTGCTGCCACTCTGATTGCGCTCACTACCGTGGTGATGATGCCAAGCGGAAAGATGGCGAAGATCACGCAATCGTACCAGGTGATGGTCTGGCTTAGAAACTGCTTGGTAACCTGAGGAATCATAAAATCTACGATTAGTCAAAAGTTGCCCCATTGGAAAAGATATGAGTCCCAGTAGTTAGTACCTGCTCTCCGAACAATGCTAAAATCGGTGCAAGGTCGGTCAACAGATTGTTCGTAAAGCTGTCCCCGGAATCATCGGCCCTCGCCAAGCAGGCATTGATAAAAACGATTACAAGAAAAGCGACTAGGATATTGCCCCGTACTTTCGGTGAATTTATCGATGACATTCCAGTTGGTGCTCGGGTTGTCGCTCGGAGGGGCGGGATTCTCGTGTAGTTTTATCCGGGCGGGCGACGCGACACTCGTTTGTGCTGTTGGGAAACACAAACTAACGGATACTATATGTCTGCTGCAGCAGAAGCAATTGTGCTGTTCTCTCTAGAGTGTGGGACTCTGCATCAGCCAGTGTTTTCGCCGTGCTCTTTGGTGGTGGTTGGTGTATGCGACATTCCGAAATATGTTATTCGCTCCGCAGGATGGGACAGATTCAGCAGTGAAGTTGCAGGTGTATAGACGGCAACGATATCGCGGGGTATTCGCTTGATCCAGGGCTGTGCCAGCAATTCTGCAGAGGTTACAGCCGTACATCGCCGTGCATATGAGACATTCCGACGTTGTGCAAGCCGTATCAAGACACGGCCATTGGTTGCGATTGGCACCATAGAAACGACCACACTTGGCACATGAGTGGTTTGGAAATCGGTGGTAATGGGTATTATATAATCAGCCCGGATGCTTGAGACCGCCGACAACCAGTAACCAATTGTTCGCGTGCGACTTCACTTTCCCTGCTTTAGTGGCGCGGAGATAGAGCTGATATGGAAAGAGAGTTGATGGCCCTTTGTTATTCATCTGATAACCCTACAGATCCACAGCTTTAATGTTCCTTGAATATATGCATTCAAGCCCCGCTACCCGTATCCGCGATTTTCCCAGGGTTGGAACTTGGCAATCGTCTTGTAATACTCCCACCAGTTAAGACCATCCTCCCCCTCCTCCCCTCCTCCCTCCTCCTCCCCCTTCCTCTCCCATGAATACAGCACCCTTGTCCTTTGTGGAGTAGTATATTATCGACCCCCGACTGGAGTGAAGCCTGCAGCTTCTCCTGTGCTGGTTGCCCGTCCCAGTGCTCGAATATCGGTGCGACAGATTTTCACCACAATTCCTCTTTTTCGATCTCGCCCTTTACGAACTCCAGGTGTTTCAACCTCCTCTCCCTCATATTTATCACCGCTTCTCGGCCTTGCCTTGGCCAAATATAATTCCGGCTGAAAAGAGAGCTCAGCCGCAATATCTTCGAATTAGCATCATTATCCCCGAGGATAGTGGCACCGATCTCCGCCAGGGAAAAGAACCGCCCCATCTCGGTGGAGGATATCCGAACTCGATGGACAGCAGAATTTCGCAGCTGAGGAAGGGCTTTGAGCACGTCGAGGCCATCCGAAGTTCCGCACCAGGTCGGAATGATCTTTCGAATATACACGTGGAGCTCTGCAGCTTGTGGAATCGTCCAACCCTTTTGCTCGAGGAGGTACGTCATGTAGGTACCGATGAAGCCATGGCACGCGTCCTCGAGGAGGGGCCTGGAGCGGTGGGAGGAACATGTGTTGAACGGCGTGGGGAGTAAATCTTCGTCCGGCGCATGGTGAAGCGGGAAGGTTGCCGATTCTAGTGCGGACGAGGAAGATGGTGAGAAGGCGTAAGATCGTGTGGACCGCGACGCCGGAGGTAGCGATTTAGGTAATGCTGATTCTAGGGAATGAGGCTCATAGGGATTTGAGGGGAATAATGGGTGGGTATGAAATGGTATGATCAGCGACGCTGACGGCGCGAACACAGGCGGTGCTGATGCGGGGAGAGGCTCATAGAGCCTTTCTTGGTGGTTGTGGGCTCGGTTCAAGGAGGCGGCCGTCCCGCCAGCAGTGACGACGACAGCCGCGGCAGCTACTGCTCCCTGTGCGTCCCAGGGAGGCCTCTGCGGAAGAGGGTGCACTGTTCGCTCTGGCTTCGGCGCAAGCGCTGGCTTTGGGGCCGGGATACGAGCGACAACATGAGAGGCCGGTGTGATTTCCGGACACCGCGCAGCAGCCTCATGACACTCCTTCTCCGACACCACTCTGCCAACTGCTTCTCGCCATTGCTGCTGGTTATATCTCGCGACGAATAGGTGCTCGGGCAAGATCATAACCGTCACATTTGGTTGAAAGTTCAGGCAAGAAAGATGCAAATCCTTTTTGAGGCCGGTTTCCAGCAACTCTTCGAGCCGATCAAGGACAGTCTGGACGTGCACGACTTCGCCACTGCCGCGCATCCAAATATATCTGTATCTCCTCGAACTTCGCTGGCAGCCGTGCGCTGCCCACGAACTGGCCGTTTGGTGGACCCGGCGCGAGACATGCGGCGAGGGAGCGGATGTAGTTGTCAAGTTGTGTTGCAAGGGTTTCTTTCTCCATCGCACGAGAACTACCGAGGAAGTAAAGAAAGAAAGAAGGTTCGGATTGCTACAACTTATATTTCCACGACGCGTAGAGGCTGAGGGGCGGAGCACCACATACAACCGGTTACACTGCATGGTTTTCTTCTCCACTCGCATCCCGGGAAAACGCATGAACGTCACACGCCTCAACGACCGGCCACGGATCAGGCAACACCAAGATTCACTCGTAGTGAATTTCCGTCGTTGCATAAAACTTCGCCCGCCTCTTGAATAGGTATTGAAAGCGTGTATTAGCTATATGGCATTGGGCTTATCTCGACTCACATGTATCAGCCTTGCCTATCGTAGGATCACTTTGGTCGGACACTCCTACCGAACTCCATGCGCGCGTCTATCATGAAAGCAATCGGCCGATACTGCCCTAAAATATGTTGCAACAAAAATTCCAATTGTCTCAACCTTTCGTACTATTGAAACCATATTAGATCACTCGGCTGAGTATTCCCATCGTGATATTTCCACCAGAGTATCTCGGCCGGTCTGCTCTCCCATTATATAGAGCCCAAACACTCTCGAGATTACTCTCGGATAGGGGTCCGGGACGATTTGCCTTTCGCCCAATATTACACGAGCATCCGCATCGGGGCATGGGTCGTTATGAGTAAACTTTATTGCCCTCAGTGCTCACGGGTTTGGTACCTTATATAGTGGTGTAAACCACTGTAAACTTTAAAGTGTTAAATAAGTGGGCTTCCGCTGCAGGGGAGGCAAGCGAGGGTGTGGGTGTTTGGGGATTAGTGTATCGAAAGGTCTTCCAAGGTCTTCCGACAATTGGTCGAGGTATAGCATAGCAGCAAGGCGAATAACAAATTCATCAATTCTGTGCATAGAGGGATGACAGATGAGATATTGCTTCGCCGGGCCCGGAAGATGGTGGAGATCCCGCATAACGGTAACTAACGTGGTCGCAAGCGATGAAACGGCACGTTGACTGTGTCCTCCAACGCTGCTCCGAGCACTCACCCACGTCCAGTCCCAGCCCGGGCTATCCTCTGTAGAACTTTCAAGCCCGGGTGAGACAGCGTTTACCGTATTGTCAAGGACTGATGTACTTTCAGTTCCCGCCAGTCTCTAGCAATAAGAAAATCCGGGGTTTTCGTGATGGAAAGAGCATTTTTCTAGTGTTCCCGCCACAGGCACTGTAAGTTATCTCCGTACAACCATTTATTGATTACCAGTGCCAAAGTTGACACTCGGAGCGGCCACCAACCCTTGTCCAATCTAGGTGTGTCTCGCCTACGTACCCTGCATTATCAGTCCCCGCGGGCCGCCAGGCCACCTAGCGGGCTGTGGGCCCTAACCCAGGATTGGAGGACGAGCCCGGCCTGCCCTAACGAACTAGTGTTGAGAGATCTCCGCGCGAGACTGACCCACACTGCCGGGCCCTAACTACAGGACTGTTGTCTAAACGGACGATCCGAAACCAGAACTCTACTCTCACCTCCTGTAAACTTCAAGCGGGGAGTCCTCGCCCAAATTCCTTCCGATTTCGCTTCACAGCCATCACTCCGTCTAGGGCCCTGCCACCTCCCTTTTCTTCCTAATGCTACTGCTGCTGCAGGGCAGCTTTGATTGCCCGCTTTTGGTAGTGATTGTTGTAGATGATCGAGGGGAACGGTGCCGAATGTGTGGAGTGGTTGTGAGGACCGGTGAAGAATGAGCTTTTTTGAGTGAGGAATCGATGCGGGTATGTACACCTACTAATTGTGAAGCTACACTACGTCGTTTTCATCTAGAATCACATGGTTCCCCCGCAATCCTATCTTTGCAGTCTTTGTACTCCGAGATTGGACGGACTATATTACAGTTATTACTGCCGTCGTGGATATTGATAGGACGAGAGTAGGGATACACGGTCCGTCCATACGAGACCACCGTCCGGACCGGACTGCCTACCTATGCAGAACACTGGATCTCTCTGTATCAAGTAACTTCTCGAAAGCTGCCATGCTAAACACTCTTGCCACCGGTACCGTCGCAGCCGCTGTCAACCCCATAACTATGGCCATGGTTCGCAGGTTCCCCGAAGCGAACATGCATCATCATGCACCCCACAGAGCCGAAATGTTGTGGTCCCGGCGCGGTTTGACATGTCGCGAACGGAAGGTTATTCTCACTTTCCGCCTTTAACCATCGATTCCCCAACTCTCTTGCTTTCTTTTTCACGTTCTCTCGACGAGGGGAAATAAGAAGAAGCTGTTTCGCCTTTCGATTTTTCTTTCCCGGCCAGCAGCACAAGAAACGATGAGTGGTCAACCCAAGAACTTTCGATCCTCGATGGAGAAGGCCAACACAGAACATGCGGAGGTTGTTGATCGGCTCAAGGAGCAGGCGGTAGGTACTGTTAGGCTATACGATGAAAACAATAATTTGAGACTCATTCCGGTGCCTACTAATGATCCGAATGGTACGTGCTGTCAGTGCTGAGCTGTGCCGTGTCTTGACAGTGGGCGATGGAGCGTTGCTGATCGTGATTCGTACTGGATAGATCCACTCAATCTCCCCATGTGGAGGAAACATATGATCCTCGCTACCATGATTCTTTGTGAGTTCCTCATTCCAGTCATGGACCATGGTTGCCGGTGCGGGCACTGATGGATGCAGATGGTGTCGCTGGATTGGCTGCCGTCGCGAATATTGGCAGTATCCTCCCCGTACTGCAGATGCAGTATGGAGATCCAGTCGTAGTCATGGCATTATTGTCTCCTCCGAATCCCGGATCCAACGAGCCCGAAGTCGTCCGCACTGGAGATCCGGCTACCACCACCGGAGCAGTAGTCAAGCCCGCTCAGCTTCCGTAAATCTCGACATCTCCCTTCTTCCTCGCGCTGGGCCACCCGGCGAAACGGCCATGCCCGACCTGCCGCCCGGAATCGATTTTACCAAAGTGCCCGCAGGGGGTTACAGGTCCATTGCCACCATCTCTCTCCTCGGTAGTCTTCCGTCGCTCTTCATGGGCATATCCAACTTCATTTCTGTCCCGCTCTCCCTGGCCATCGGCCGTCGTGCCCTTCTAGTACTTCTCATGATCATCACCACCGTGTCCATGATCTGGGCCGCAGTGTCCAAGGACTTTTGTCATCATCTGGCTGCGCGCTGTGTCATGGGCTTTGGAGCGGGGAGCTTCGAGTCCTTGAGCTCGCTGGTGTTGTATGATATCTATTTCATCCACCAGAGGGGAAATGTGAGTACCACTTAGGAACCCCAGGCTTAGCGGGACGTCGGTGCTGACGCTCATAGGCGATCGGTGCTATGTGGACACTCTCTGCGGCCATCAGTTACCTGTTCGGCGTCATGTCCTCGAAGATCGTCAGCATAGTCGGCTAGAGATGGCTTTATGGAATCTTCGGCGTCATATCTGCGTTCGGAATGGTGATGATGGTCGTCTTTGTTCCAGAGACGTGATATGTCCGAGCCATCCAGATAGTCGGTCTGTGTCCCCCGCTCCTCCTCCTCCCACGACCAAACTGACTCTTGTAGCCGACAATCTCATCGAAACCGACGCTTTCGGCAACGTCCATGTTGTAGGCAAAGTCGGAGACGCCAACATTAACAATACGACCGGCCCGACAGCGCAGTCGACCTCTCTCGAGTCCGTCGTCGGCGGTTACGAGCCACGCAGCTGGGCAAACGACATGAAGTTATTCCGCGGCGCCACGGACTGGAGTCAATGCTGGACCTGCTACCGAAACATGCTCAAAGCGGCGGTTCTGCCCAACATCGCCTGGGTCGTGATCCTGAATTCGATCTGCATCGCTGTCATGATTAGCTATCTGACGACGTTTTCTCAACCGCTTATGGTGTGGCAGAAGGGTGGCGCATGGGCTGTCGATAACCTGGGACTATCGACGCTCGCGATGTTACCCGCTTGCTTTTTCTCGTTCATCGCGTCCGGCTGGGATATGGATTGGATCTCGAAGTATATGGCAAAGAGGAACGGCGGAATCCACGAAGTATGTACGCACACGCATCCCTCATGAGTCTGCGCTCCTACTAACTCCTCCCGGGACCCGTAGCCCGAGAGTCGTCTCCCCTCCATAATCCTCCCCTCAATCTTCACCATCCTCGGCAGTGTCCTGTACGGCGTGTCCAGCGAGCGCACCGACCAATACCACTGGGCGGTCTCGCTTCTCAGCGCGTTCTTCCTCAACTTCGGGTTCCTCTCATTAAACACCAGCCTTTCTGTCTACGCGGTTGAATGCTACACCCGCTGGGCCGGGTATGCACCTATGCTTCTTTATCTTTATCCCCCCTCCCCCTTATTCATCCCATATTCCAATATTCCTCCACTAACCAGTGACGTGGGTGAAAACTAGGCCTCTCCTAGTAATAGTCTGCGCGCTCCGCAACGTCGTGGGCTTCGCGATGAACTTCAAGATCGTCGACTTCATTGCCGCGGGCGGTTACGATGGTGCGTTTGGCATCTTTGCGGGTATCTTTGCGGGCGTGGCGATGATCGGCGTGCCGGTTTATGTCTGGGGTAAATTACTGAGGAGGTGGTCGGCTGGATGGGTTGGGTTGACCGATCGTTGACAGGGAGTGAGTCCGCATGACTATAGTAGTGATAGACTCGTCAGAAGGAATGGGGTTTCTTCTTGGTGTACCTATTGTGGTGCGTCGTCGGGGTTCCGTGGTTACGCATTGGCGCTTGTCTCGGGTATTTATCCTTAGGTCCCTTACCGCCCAAGATCCGGCAACACCAACTTGGCTTCGTAACTTCGTGTCCCTTACCGTACGTCGAACTCGTGACATGTCTTCCGCGCTCGAAAGACCATCATCTCCCTGCTCCACAGCCTATAGTGCCGTTACGCTGTGTGATCTCGCTGTACTCCTGGAGAGCTACGGGAACGAACGTTCCTTAACTACCTACCTCCGAGTGAATAACGGCCTGTCAACCGCCCTCTGCCCTCTGCCGCCACGCGGTTTGATACATACATACGGGATAGGAGATTAGTATGCACCAGTCCGGGGGGGGGGGGGGGGCTGGGCCCGCTGTTTGCGTGGTTGCTGGTGCGCTGCTTGGTTGGTGTTTCTTTCGCCGAGGTCGAGGTCGAGGTCGAGGCGAAATTAGAGCATGTTGAGATTCACTTTCAAGATCACAAGTGAGTACGAGTACACAGAAGGAGCGCCCACAATAAAAGTGGCTTCCCGTGGGCACTGGGAACATTCTCTCGAATTCCCAATCCAAGCCCTATCTACCGGTATGCCCTTCTCTATGAACTCCCCCTCCCCCGCACAGCCGTTACTAGCCGCCGTTGTCATCCATCCACCACCGACGCGCCGGCAACCCCGCAAATCCACCTCCCGAGTTCCCATATGGTTATCGTGCCCTCCCCGTGCAGCGCCCATCTCCGCCGCAACATGCGGGAGTGGTGTAGCGGGCCTAGCGGCGTTCGGGGGATTCCTAGCGGGGGATTGCCAATTGGTTAGATAGTTAGCGCTGCGGGAGAGCTTCCGCTTCGGGGAATCCTGTTGATCTCGGGGTTGAGTAAGGCAGGCAGAAACCTGGGATCATCGGATAAGGGAGAGCACATGTCGCACAAGAAGAGGGTTCGGTGGTACCGTAGGTCCGTAGGGTACGAGGGAGATGAAGATGAAGATTTCCGTGTGCTTGTGCTTGTGCTGTGGTGTGCGTGATTGGATTGGGGGGTTCTCTGCGCGATCGTTGGGTGTGATGCAGTGGTGCACAAGGTTATCTCAACGGCTGGTTGCGCAAGGACAGATCCCCCTGCACGGTAAATACCCCGGACATCCACAGGTCCACAGGACCACAGATGAAGCGGAATCTCGCCGCAGCTGCTGTGTTTGGACGGATTGGGGCATATCGCCAGTGCCCGGTGGCCATGGGACGAGGATGGGGTTGGGGTTGGGGTTGGGGTACATAGAAGGAAACGAGCGGTGGGCGGTGGGTTCCGGACGGAGTGACGCTGGACGGTGGCAGTGGCAGAGGGAGGCGGCAGTTGGCCCGGGCGTAGGCGAGTATATAGACTTCGGGAGAGGACACATGAGGGAGTTGAAAGCTCCACGGGACTGTCGCTGTCCAGTTCAGTCTTCTCTAACCTTCGCTGCTCCACCGTAGAAGAAGTGAAGTGCACATCGCCACCGCCATGAGGGTCCGTGCTATCCCTCAATGATGCCCATCGCTCGGGCCACATGCTGACTGGCTGACTGACTGTCTGACGTCACACCAGACCCTCCGCCTGCTCTCCACGCTGTCGCTTCCGCTGCTCGTCCTCGCGCAAGCGCAGAAGCTCCTAACTTTCAATGAGTCGCTCGCCGGCGGCTTCAGTCCGCAACGTACAGCCGTACAATGGGTAACCAACGCGGCGAATGCCTCCTCAGACGGGCTGTACATCACCAGCGACGCCTCAGGCTCGCTGCTATTCGTCAACATCGTCGACAATACGACGGAGACGTTCGTGGACGCCAGCGTTCTCGGGCTCGACTACTACGACTACTCCATACAGCCGTCGCAGGAGAACGTGTTGTTCTCGGCGAACTATACGAAGGGCTACAGACACTCGTACACCGCGGACTACTACGTCTTCAATCGCGCCAGTGGCTCGGTCGAGCCGCTGGTTGACGCACAGGACGGCGATGTCCAGTACGCTGAGTGGAGCCCCAAGGGAGACGTCATCGCGTTTGTGAGGGGCAATGATCTGTACATCTGGGAGGAGGGCATAGTGAGAAGGGTCACCCAGGATGGCGGGCCAGATGTGTTCAATGGCGTGCCGGATTGGGTCTACGAAGAAGGTTCGTTCTGTCGTTCTGTCGCTCGGCTGCGATTGGGGAGGCGGGGGCTCGGAGGACTGACAGGCGACAGAAATCTTCGGGAATAGATTCACCCTCTGGTTCTCGCCCGACGGAGCGTACCTCGCGTTCCTGCGGATGAACGAGACGGGTGTGCCAACTTACACGGTGCCGTACTACATGGCTGGTCAGGAAGTTGCGCCACCTTACCCACAGGAGCTCGAAATTAGATACCCCAAGGTCTCTGAGAAGAACCCGACGGTGACCTTCCACCTGCTGGAGCTCTCCACGTTCAAAGTCTCCGAGATCGAACACGACTCGTTTGCGCCGGCCGATCTGATCATCGGCGAGGTGTCGTGGGTGGCCGACGCGCACGAGAACGTCATATTCCGCACGTTCAACCGGGTGCAAGACCGCGAGAAGCTTATCCTCGTTGATGTCGCTGCGGGCACGTCCAAGGTCATGCGCGAGAGGGATGGAACCGACGGCTGGCTGGATAACAACATGAGCATCCAGTACGTCGGCGCGCTCAACGGCAGCAGGAAAAAGTACTACATCGACCTCTCGGACCATACCGGCTGGGCACACCTCTACCTCTTCGCCGTCGCCGGCGGCACTCCGGCGAAGGCACTCACGAGGGGGGAGTGGGAAGTCACCTCCATCTTGAAGATCGACACTGCGCGCGGGCTGGTGTACTACCTCTCGACGGAGCGGCACTCGACCGAGCGGCACGTATACTCCGTCTCGTTGCTTTCCGGCAAGAAGACCTCGCTGGTGGACACGACGCGCGACGGGTACTGGAGCGCATCCTTCTCATCTGGCGGGGGGTACTACATCCTGACCTACGCCGGCCCACACGTGCCCTACCAGCAGCTCTACAGCGTGTCCTCGCGCACGCCGCTGGCCACGCTCACCGACAACGCGCAGCTGAAGGCGCAGCTCTCTTCCTACCGCCTGCCCACAACGCGCTACCACGTCCTCCGCCACCCCGCAGGCTACACCCTCAACGCGCGCGAAATCCTCCCCGCAAACTTCAACCCGCAGAAGAAGTACCCCGTGCTCTTCGACCCGTACGGCGGGCCCGGCGCACAGCAGGTCAGCAAGGCGTTCGTGACGCCCGCGTGGCGCCACTACATCGCATCCGATCCCGAGCTGGAGTATATCGTTGTGACGGTAGACGGGCGGGGCACGGGGTTCCAGGGACGCAAGTTTAGGTCCGCGGTGGTCAAGCGGCTGGGAGAGCTCGAGGCGCAGGATCAGGTCTGGGCGGGAAAGGTGTGGCAGGCGAAGAGCTATGTTGACGCCCGCCATATGGCCATCTGGGGCTGGAGCTTTGGCGGGTTCTTGGCGGCGAAGGTCGTCGAGCTCGATAGTGGCGTGTTCTCGCTGGGGATGATTACGGCGCCGGTTTCTGGTATACCACCACGCCCTTTCCCTCCCCACTCCACGCATACATACAAACTTGCTAAACAAAGCAAATAAGACTGGCGTTTCTACGACTCAATGTACACAGAGCGATACATGAAGACATTGTCATCGAACCCGTCGGGGTACATGTCCTCAGCGGTGACCGACCCAGCGGGATTCAAGCGGATCCCCGGCAGCGTTCTGATCCAGCACGGCACGGGCGACGACAACGTGCACTTCCAGCACTCGGCGGTGCTGGTCGATACGCTGACGCGCACTGGCGTCCCCCCGCAAAAGCTCGATGTCCAGTGGTTCACCGACAGCGACCATAGCAATAACTTCCATGGCGCCACGAGGTTCCTGTATAAGCAGCTCACTGGGAAGTTGTACGACGAGAAGAGGAGGAGCGGGATGGGGGGCGAGCATCAGTGGAGTCGTCGGGCAGGTGCGAAGGGATGTAGTGCATGCAAATAGTAATAGCCAAAGTCACCGAAATAGTTAATGGATTGCGTGGAATTGTATCAGTCATACTTTATTCCACCGTCCATTCCATAATCATGTAAGAGCTCCACGCTCAGATAATATCCATAACCAAACCAAAAAACGAGAATGCCCAAAGTTGCCAGCCTAAAAACAAAAATGAAACCCCATGTCCAAAAGAAAGAAACCCATTACTCCGAACCCTATTCCCAAGCAGCAGCAGCAGCAGCTGTGTTGCTTTAATGCTTCGCACTCGAAGCCTTCAGCTCCTCATAATCCTGCAGCACCAGCTTCGTCTCGGTACTATCCGGCGCGAAGCCGAGCACATCTTCACACACGTGTGCGAGACCCTTCTCGCGGATGGCGGTCTGCACCTCGACCGACTGCTTATCCTCGGGGTTATCGTACATGAGACACGCGGCGATACCCTTGATGAGGTTGGCATGGGGGAGGCCGTATTCGACCGCCATCTTTGTTGGGCCGACGAGGCGGTCGGCGGGGCCAAGCTTTCGGAGGGGCTCGCGGCCGACACGCGCAACGTCGTCCTTGATGTAGGGGTTGCGGAAGCGGTTCATGATCTTCTCGATGTACTTCTTGTGCTCCTCAAAGTCGAAGCCGTGCTTCTTGCACAGTGCCTGGCCGGACTCGACCATGGCGTCGTGCACGATCTTCTCGATCTCCGAGTCCTTGAGCGACTCGTCGACGGTGGCGTAGCCCTTGAGGTAGCCGAGGTAGGCGGTTGTTGCGTGGCCGCAGTTGAGAGTGAAGAGCTTGCGCTGGACGTAGGCGACGAGGTTGTCGGTGAGCTTCATGCCCTCGATGTGGGGACGGGGGCCCTTGAAGGCGGGCTCCTCGACGATCCACTCGTAGAAGGCTTCTACGCCGACGGAGAGGACGTTGCCGGTCGCGCCAGGGTCGAAGGGAGGGACGATGCGGTCTACGGCGCAGTTGGGGAAGCCGACGTATTCCTCAAAGTAGGCCTTGTCCTCGGAGTCGGCGATGTGCTTGGCGATCTCGTCGCCGAGGTGGCGAGAGCCACCGGTCATGTTCTCACACGCGATGATGTTGAGATATGTCTTTCCCGCCTTGCGACGCTCGACGATGCCCGCAGCGAGGGATCGGGCGATGATGCGGAGGACGTTGGGTCCTACGGCCGTGGTGATGATCTCGGCGTCGACAATGGCTTTGGTCAGCTCGGTCGGGTTGTTGGACATCACGCCGGAGACGTTCTTGATATCCTTTGTGGGCTCTTCGGGAGCGACATCGAGGATCGTGATGGTGTAGCCCTTGTGCTCGTTCAATGCATTGATCAACTTATCCATCACGTCGGCAAATGTGACATGATAGCCGGAGTCCGAGAGGAGGGCGCCGATGAAGCCACGGCCGATGTTACCGGCACCGAAGTGGAGTGCTGAAGGAGCCATTGTGGTCTTTGTATGGGGATTTGTGTGGTTGGAAGTGGTAGAAGTGGTGATCTGGGAGAAAGGAATGCTCAGTATGCCGGACAAAACACGTAGACGCTCAAGTGCTTGGGACATTACTCGGGGGAGCAACGGGTATTTTATATGGATGTAGCTCAGGGACCAACTCACGATGCGAGGGGAAAAAGCCGCAGCTTAAGACAAAAAGGGCGAGCGGGGGATGTCGGGTTCCCAATATAAGCAAATGACGCAGTGCCGATTTCGATATATACCAACTGTCCAGCACAGCCATGGCAGTCAGCACATGATCCCAGGAACCCTAATGCCGATATGGATTCGCGCTGACCGAAATCAGCCGAGAGGGAGGGCGCCGAGATGGCACGTACCTGGACTGAAGACAATCACGGGCTTGACTCGACTTGATTGGAGGGCTAGGGGACTTCAGGGGTGTATGTTGCGTCTAATTGCTGCGGCGAAGCATTAGCTGATGTATCATAAACACGGGGCACTCGATTTCCGGGGGTAACAACTGTCGCTTGGGTAGGGTTTGATAGGAGAGTTAACAGGATGGCTATGTACCTACCGGAGACGTTATCGGACAATTTTAGGCTGATTGTGACTGGCCGGCTGGCGGGTGGCGTGAGGATGGATGTACTGGTGACGATGGAGGATGTAGAGGAAGAGGATGAGCGGGCGATGAAGGAGGACAGCGGAGGGGAGATATATACGGGTGGGCCAGGACAGCAAGACACGATGGAGGAGAGGAGAAAGCGGAGAGGTAACACACAGAGAGGGGAACGCGCGGGGTTCGTGCATGCTGATTGTCTGGCTGCACGTCACGCCGCTGATCATTCGTCAATCAGGATCCGGGGGCCAGGGGTGTCCAAGCCCCATATGAGAGGAGTGTTGCGACGCCGGATTATTGCACCATTGGGCCTTGGGCGCGGGCTGAGAGGACCTCCTCTCTCCCCCCACCCCGCGTAGAGTAGAGTGCTCTGCAGCCAGAGTGGTGCCGGCGCGGCCGGGTTGACTGCAGCCCCAGCCAGTGAACACGCTCAAGCTGTCTCGGTATGTAGGCCACCCACAGTCGTGTCGGAAGGCACGTTGATCGCGTACGATTGCGATTGCGTCGATCTGCTCTGCAAGCAATATATCTGTGAGAGTCACTTTATCTATGTATTTTTGCCCCGCCATTCTCGCCTGCAATGGAATGCGAACTCCGTGCTCGACTGTCGACATGCCTCGGACTCCGCAGTGCATGTGCTGACATCGCCTACCTGCACTCCGCGGCACGCTCTTCGACCTGGAGTGCATCATGGCCATCGCACGGGCCTCAGCTTGGTCAACGTAGCGTCGCCGGCGCCACGGCGTTGTTGTCGTTGTCGTCACCCCCTCTGACTCCCCCAGTCTCCCACGAACGCCGCCAAAAGGACAGCCCAAACCGTCAACCGCCGCTAGCTGCCGCACCCCACGCCCACAAAGGAAAGGCCCGTCCATTGCCGTGGTCCCCGCCGGTACCGGTCCCGCCTTGGAACAACCCCGGGAAACAGATTAGCAAACGCCCATTAGTTTCCCCTCCACCCAACCAAGTACGTACTACGTGCTCTACCCTCCTAGCACTTCCATCGACATCTGGAAACAAAAAGCATGGTTTTTTCTTTTTCCTGCCAGGACAGCGGGCGGGGGGATCGGGCAATGGCGAAGAGGGCCATCGGATATCGCGTCGAGAGCGATGTGGGATTTAACTTAACTTATGCGCGTGCATGTGTATGTGTGTGTGCATGTAGGGATCAGGAGGACCCTGTGAAGAAAACTTTCGTTGCCCCGCGCAACGTGCAGCGTGCAGCATCCGCATGCAGTGTGTATGCGGCTTTTGCGGCTTTGCCTTCTGCCCGGCCAGCGGCGGTGGTGGCAGTGCTGTTTGGTGGGATGGATGGATGTGATGATGATGGCGTGGGCGATCTTGCCTTGTTTTTCCATCGGCCCGATCATCAGGGAGTGTGAGCGACAAACACAGATCTCCCGTCGGGATATTCAGGAACTGGCGAGGTGTGAAGTGGGGCGGACGGTGAACCGTGACATCATAAACGTGGAGGATGGAAGCAGATGCCGGAGCCGGTTCTTTTCTGACACCGGGGAGATACCGGTGCACTCATACTAGTACATATCGGGATGACCCTCGTCGTGGATGCGATTACATAATTGCACCTGCGTGCGGAAATCCTCTGTTCCTCTCCCGTCGGGCAGAACGTGTGCCCGGACTTGGCTTCCTTGGTATCGAGCAGGAGACGTGGCTTTCGAGGACGATGATGCTTCGCGTCCAGACACGGCCCCTTTGGCATGGCTGCCCACGCCGATGTGGAGCTAGCGGCTGAGCGTCCGGCTCTTCCAGCCGTGACCTTGGAAAAAAAGGTTCGAGCCGGGCATTATCGGCGTCGCTGTTGGCCTTCCTTTATCTACCGTACTTTGTACTCGGTACTCTACTTTCATCCTACCAAGTCCCGACTTCCCAGCCCATCCTCACTTCGGTCCGACTTCCTTTTCGGCTGTACGAATGGCTCAAAGAAAGCCTTGAGACCGGCCGAACTCGTCTTCCGCGATGATATCGAAAGCCAGTGGCTCGTACCGATACTATCGCACCAGTACTGTCGTCGTCGCAACTCGCGACTTCAGCGGGTCGTATTCGTCTTCTCGCTTCATTGACGTCATATCGGCTGCGGGGCGAGTCTGCAACGACTGTTCCATTGCGATAAATACATCAGTAACCAAGTGCGATTGATGTCGGGGTAAACCCATACTTATGATCCATTGAGTCCTAACTACCGTATGTACTCATTTGATGTACCAGTTCAAGCCATGGAGTAACTCATCATTGCGTTTGTACTCGCCAGAATCACGTGCTACTAAAGCCGATCAAGCCACCCAGGTCCCAAAGAGCCTCACTACGACAGGACGAAACGGCGAACGCCGTTCCCACCATGTTCCAAGGCCTAGAGTAGAGTAGTTAGGGTAGGTAGACCGCCAATCAATCAACGCGTCCACCTGTGACACTTGAGGCACATCCGTCCCACGCAGTGCACTTACGCGCCATTCACTCTCACGCCCGCGAAACCCGCACCTCACGAGTCACGCTTCTTCTTTCTGCGCGCCACAGCAGCAGGATGTCAGCAGATGCGTACGGCAATCCGAACCCGAACCCGCTCCCGAACCCGCTCCCGAACCCGCTCCCGAACCTTACCGTCGTCACCGGATCTCGGCCGCAGCTGCCGGTCTGGCGTGCGTGCGAGGAGTGCAAGATCCGCCGCGTGAGTTTTCCCCGGTCTGGTTTTCCCCGGTCTGGTTGTGGTTTTACCACGCGCTTGGAAAGAAACATCTGGGCTCACATCTTCGCTTTCTGTGCGCAGGTCAGATGCACTCATAAGCAGGCTATGTTGCTGCCGCTCAAGGGACCCGACGAGCCCGCCGGTATTCGCCCCGTCGAGGATTATCCCTATCAGCCGTCGCCGTTCGGACGGCAGCCGAAGGTGAGGATGCCGAGAGTGAGGAGGCCGCCGAAGAAGCGGGCTGGGAGGAAGCGGGAGTGGGAGGATAGTGATGAGGAGGAGGAGGATGATGAGGAGGAGGATGAGGAGGAGGATGATAATGAGGAAGACGAAGACGAGGAATTTGGTGATGATATTGAGGGGGAGGACAACGATAAAAACGACGAAGGCCTGGCTGGAGAAGAGGAGGATGGAAAAGCTAGGCACGATGCGCAGAACGGCG